GATGACTTCCTTCTTTGCCACGACACCCGATATGATCGTCAACATCTTTTGGGCCTGTTTAAGTGGGGAAGTCAAAACGAATTGAGCCTTGAAAACAGCCTGGACTTCAAGGGCAAAAGGATCTCCCTGGAGTATGACGCCAAATCCAGTGAGTATATCCTCAAGCTCGACCAGGAGAAGTTCATCTCAGACATGAAAGGTGGAAAAGTTTCCAGGAAACGCTTCAAGGAAACCCTGGACAAGAAAGACCTTGGAGAATTCCGAAGTGTGTCTGGATGTTTGCAGTGGCTTGCAGGTCAAACCAGACCTGATGTTGCAGCAGTTGTGAGCCTTTGCAGTAAGGGAGAGAAATCCACCTACGAGGATCTTCACAACATGTACTGCGCCGTTCAGCACCTGCACCAGACCAAAACAAAAGGACTTGTACTGCGACCAGTACCCATCAACTACAGCACGATGCTGGTGACCTTTGCAGATTCATCATGGGCGAACTCTGTAAATCATTCCTCTCAACATGGTTGCATCACGATGCTGGCAGACCCTAAGGTGACAGACGTCATTGGAGCTGGTTTAATTTTGGATTGGAAATCTTCGCGATCCACGCGAGTGTGCCGAAGTACTTTGGCGGCAGAGGCATCTGCATGCGACATGTCCGTGGACCGATCTTCACTCCTGAACTATCAGCTGAGCGAATTGCTTCTGAACCGGCCTGCGTTTCACATAGCATCCAGTGAACTTTTGAGAATGATTCAGGTGACAGATTGTAGGTCATTGTACGACGTGCTGGTCAGCGAAAACCCTCGAACAGAGGACAAAAGAACGATCGTAACAATACGATCGGCACAACAGTTTCTCAGTCGCCAGAACGTTTTTTGGGTTCCAACGGCCCTTATGTTTGCAGATGGACTCACAAAAGTGAGCATGCAATTGATGCTGGACTTCTTCGAATGGCTCCAGCGGCCGTGGATCCAGCTCCATGAAGGCAAAGGGAATGTCAATCAACAGAACATTGGGAGTGTGAGTTGTCCCACTAAGATGCAGCGCATGAGTTGACATCCCAATCATTCCATTTGCATTTCATGGACATGCACTGATTGCAAGCCTCGCAGTGGCCACTTGACCCAAGCATTTTGCCTGCAAAAAGGCCGCGCCCTTTGCATCGTTTGCACTTGATTGCATTCCGACCTGTCACTTTTAGCACGTGCCATGGTCAGACCTTCTAGGTTTCGTGTGTTCCTTTCCAGGCACCACCTCATCCAAAGCCTTTGCCACATCCTCCTTGCCTTCCTTGTTATCCTTGCCTTCCTTATCTTCCATGTCTTCCTTGTCTTCCTGATCATCCTTGTCTTCCTTGTCTTCTTCGTCTTCCTTTTCTTCCTTGTCCTTCCCGATCTCCTGCGTGGGAGAAACCTGCGTTTCTTTCTGCCCATCCTCCTCGGTCTCCTTTGCATCCTGCGCCTCTCCTTTCTCGTCGGCTTCTTTTCGATTCTGCTTCACCTTAGCCTTCTTTACCGGGTCCTCTACATTCTTCACTTCAACCTTCTCTTTGCAATCCTCCTGTTGGTTGTTTGTTTCCTGCTCCTGTTTCTCATGTGTGTCATCATGTCCAGCCTTCCCTGTTGCTTCTCCTTCGTCAGCTGTCACTGTCAAGTCCTTCTGTGGTGGTTCACTTGGTAAACCTTCCGGCTTTGACTCCCCGCCCTGGTTGGACTCCCCACCCTCACCTTCTTTTGCCAACTCTTTGTGAAGGTTGGGAGTAAGTTTCAAAGTGGGCAGCCAGCCAGACGGCATCATGCTAGCGAATCTCTTTGGCTCAACATGAACTTCCTTGGATCTCTCCTGACAGGAAGGCCAAGGCCATGCCCCGGGATATATGCACAGATGTGTACCACATGTTGCATGCCTAGGTATTTATATATATCTATATAAGCTATATAGTTATACGAATATATATATATATATATATGTGTGTGTGTCTACGTGTCTTAAGCTGTGTCCATGCCTGCCTTACACTTGCAAAATGTATAGTGAGGATATAACTGTGGTCCTGTGTCATGCCAATATCAGATGGAGCACCCAAAAAAATCTTGAAAAACGAAGATACTCCAAATCCATTTTTTTGGGTGATTTTGGTGAATGCTTGATGTGTTTTGGGAAACAGTCCTTCTCAAGCTGAATGACACTGGCAACGCTGGTGGCAATCTGGCTGTCGGTGTACTCCATAGGCTGCGTCTCTAGGTTGTCCATGCCTGAATGGCCAAAATGAATACATAACCATGGGTTCTTAGCTGTGAAATTGGAGGGGCCTAAATAGTAGACCATACCTGCAAGATACTAGGGCCTAGTATATATATCATCATCCTCATCATCGTCATCACCATCACCCTCACCACCACCATCACCATCATCATCATTATTATCATTATCATCATCATCATCATCATCATCATCATTATTATGATCATCATCATCTCATCGTATCACACCATGAGTATATCTATCATATACCCATGCCAGTACACTACCATCATATAATACCATCACCCCATTTGTATCCATTTGTGGCATCCACTCACTTCTAAGGCCGGGCCTTGGGCAGGAGCAGGAGCACTCCTGGAGGCCATCAAGTCACGCTGTCGCTTCAGCTGGGTCAGTCGAGACTCCTCTAGTTCAAGAAGCCTGAGCTTCCGAAGTTTGTCCAAAAGAATATGTTCTTCTCGCAAACGCTGGTTGATGTTCTCCACCCCTTTGGATTTGAAAACTTTGGATGGAGTGCAAGGGATTGCCGATAGGGTTCCCAAATCCGGGGCAATGGAGGAGCAAGCTTCACAAATGAAACCACTTCCATCACGTGCCACCAGTGCGTGGGCATACTGGATCTCAGATTTCTGGCAAACTTTTGGAGGTGTCACCAATGCTGGCTGCACACCTGAGGGACCATCCCAACATTAAACATGATAACAAATTATTGGGAAACTGTGATTTATATATGGGATACTCACCGAAAATATATGCTATCGATCTCTCTCTCTCTCTCTCTCATTCTTGGTCCAACCATGAGTTTTTGTTTCGATTCCAGCCTTTTGGCGAGGGAGTCTTGCAAGGAATGCTTTGCTTGGCACCTTGGGACCATAAACCATGTGACGAGGAAACATATCATGGGCAAATAAGTAACTATAAATCGGTACGTTATTGAACATATATGAACATTCAAGGCACATGATGCAGCATCCGTAGGCTTAGCAGAAACCACTGGAATGGTTGGAGGTGCCTTCATCAGTTTCTTGACCACTGGATCCTGAGAAGATGATGGAACCTCAACCAACACCTTTCTGCCGCCGCCCTGTGCAGGGAGATCCTTGATGTCGTGGCTGCAATCCATGTCCTGGCGCAGACACTGTGCCGTGGCACAAAGTGCAGGGATGGGAGGAAAATGGGTTCTAGTTTCATTGGGCCCCCTCATAACTTAAGTATATTAACATGGATAATTTTTAACTTTATTGGGTCCTTCGGGTCGATACACTGGTCTTCTTCTAATGCTTCCTCTTCCATCTCCTCCTCTTCAAAACACGCCTCGCCCTCACTCTCTGTTTCCTCCTCTTTGACATCATCGCCTAAATGGAGGGGCCAAAGGATGTCAAGGGTAATTTATACCAGAGAAAATTTGTTAAGTTTGGCCACCCCTTCACTTATGTATATTTATATATGTTGGACCAATAACGACTAGGAACCAGGGAGAGGAACATCTGCCGCCACGTACAACTGGCGCATGGCAGCTTCCCGTGGTACATGTGGTCGTCGTGCAGCACGGCCAAATTGGGTCACCAACTGTCTTAACGACCAGGCTTGCATTTTTATCTCAGAACCTGATGGCCATTGAAGGACAAAAATCTTTCTTTGATGGGTACCTGTGGATTGTTTTGTCAACAGGTTTAACATCAAAAAAACTTTGCATTTTGGGGTTCTGCCCAAGCACCATGGATAGGAGCCTTGCCACGGGGTCTAGTCCTCCAAAAGAACTCGTCCACAAGTTTCTGGAGATCTGCTATCGTTGGTCGCATGCCTAGGGATGATCATGATTACATACCCCAATTGGATGATGTTTGCAATTGATGCATTTTAACATATATTTTTCTGCCTAGGTGCCCATGTGGTTGATGAGGGGGCCCAAGATGTCAGCATTGTTAACCACATCTCGACGAGAGAAGATTTGGATCTGCTTGTTTTTGCCACCTGGAGCCACCTTAGGCCTGCTGCTGTACTGTACCAACTGACCCTTCTGACCAAGAGCCACTATGTAATCTAGTTTCTCCCATTCATCCACCACAGGCGAACCCATGGCAACAATAATGGGGTGAAACAGGAGATACCAAAGGGCACCTACGGATTGAGAAGAAAGGGCTACCATCCAGCACTAGTGTTTTCAATTGCAGGTGCACAACTCCATCCCTGCCAGCCCCCTGATCCAAATTGCCGGGCAGACCTTGAAATCTTTGCTGCGGCTGAGGTTTTGGCCTGACCTACTTCCTCCACACACACCTACATATACAGAGCTGGCTCCACGGTCAGAGCCAAATGTCTAAAACTGCTCGAATTTTGGGATTTCTGCTCGAGGGTGCAAATTCAGGCACGTTTGGGTACCAAGCTGATTTATGCTACAAATTGGCTAAGAACATAAATTTAAGTAACAAAGGAAGGTGCTGGATTTTGAATCATTTTGATATATTACTACATGGTTTGGACTCAGAATCGAGGTTCATCAACATCCAACACAGGGATAGCCACAGGTCAAAACTGAGCCAAACCCCTCTGGATAATCCGAATTGGGGGGCATCCATCAGCACCGGGTAAACCTTGGTTGAGTAGGTTAGTCAACTCTGCTTTATCTTTTATCGGTTTTTATCGGGGTTTTTGAACCGGCTCAAGCAAAAGGATAAACCTGTCCCTAAGATTTCAAGTAGAGCAATGTGAGTACCAGCGGTTTCGAAACATCCAGGGCAATGGGCCCGCGCACTTTGACTTTTGACTTCCGATATCCCCAGGACGCCCGTGGCAGCATCAGAATCTATGGCGGCAAGTTGGCGGAGGAGGGTTTGGAAGGCCCCTACACAACCGGGGCGAAGGGCTGCCGAAGGGCTGGAGATGGCCAAAGTCGGACCCCTTTGGGAGAATGAATTCTGGCAGTGGAAAATTCCATGGAAATCCAGGAAAGTTTAGTGCTTCTATCCAGTCAGAGATGTATTTTTGGTTTGCAGGCATGTTGATGGTAGGTACATCCAACCTGTTGCAGTTTGATTTGCTCAGTTGCAGATACTTACACTGTAATATGGTTGCTGGCGCTTTTCGGCTAGTTAGCACAACACACACACACTTTGCTATTTATTTGCCAAGGAAAGGTCAAACATCAGAACTAGAATGGTATGTATAGCGAGAACAAGGTTCCAGGCATGGACTTGTTGCAAATTGGGAAGCTACAGCTTTTCGGTTCAAAACCCAGTTTCACTCTTGTTTTAAAATTTTGGAGAAATGGCGATGGACGAGGTACGCGGGGCAAAGGGTCCCGATGTCTTGTGCATGAGTCGTCTTAATTTGCCACGGAATCCTCATTTTGCCATGGAATTTCCGTACAGTTTCCGCGTTTGCTGCCTTCCAATACCGTGCAATACCGTGCATAGATATGATATTGTGGCCGATGCTTCTCTTAAATTGGAAGTCTTTTCAGCACGAACTCTTCAGCTAGAGACATGCAAAAGGTGTGTGTCAAGAGCTTAGCGAGTTTGATCCCTTACAGTGCTTAAACATCTACAGGAATTCCGCACATCATAGCTCATGGATCAATAAAAAGATGTCGAAACAATGGTTGTGGTATGAATTCGGTTGAATCCAGTCCTTTTTTTTTCTTTCACATGGGAGGGATCGGAGACCCAAATGCCCAGGATTCCAAGTTTCGAGAACTGCTGGAGGTGCCAGGGCTTGAAAGAATCCTATGCCCTAATATGCCCTAACCGAGATTTTTTATGATTTTTTGGGGTATACTATGTATGATTAATAGTGTGGTATTCTACATGTAACATATGTCCAAAATTAAGCAACATTAAGTAACAATTTAGAAGGACATTCGGCGATGTTGTTCGGGGAAGTTTTATTTAGAAACAACCATCAGAGAGAGAGAGAGAGATGGCATTTTCCCAACCCTTCAGGGTGGGCTAGAGACACAACTCTGCGGTTCGTTTTGACACGCAGCAGTTTATTTCCCTATTTGTGATGCTGATCCCCAATTGGGTGATACACAGTTCATCAACCGGCGTTTATTGGACTGCGGTTGAGATTCAATGGGCCCCAAGATGATTGGACACACTATTAAACCAGAAATTATTGAAGGGTGTGTGTGTGTGCGAGAGAGAGAGAGAATAGGTGAACGGGATTATCTGAAGCCTGGTGCGCATTTGCATTCAATGCATTTGTTGATTTTTCACATGTGACCTGTGCTAGAAGCTGACGGAAGACCGTGCGCAGAGTAGCATGGGATTTGAATGGATTTGATTTTGGGACCAAGTGCGGTTGCTTGTGCTGCTTCCAGTCTATGAGCCTTTGGGAACAATCCACTGGATTGACTCTGTAAACATCTGCAAACCAAAGCTCAGATGTTTTTCCCAAAAGCATCTCCGATGCTTGGGTTCTCGTTTAGTTTACTTTGCCGCGAGGGGAGCGAGACAGAAGAGCCGGACGAGCAAGGAAGGAAGGAAGGCACGAGCGGGAAGGAAGGCAGGAAGGAAAGGGGGAATAAAGGAAGGAAGTAAGGAAGGAAGGAAGGAAATGAAGGAAGGAAGGAAGGAAGGGAGGGAGGGAGGAAGGAAGGAAGGCACGAGCACGGACGGAGTGGAAAGCGTGGAAATAGCTTGGAAATAGCTTGGGGGGATCTCCGCTGGAGGGAGCGAGACGGGAGCGCCGGACGAGCGTGATGGAGCGTGATGGACTGAGTGTGAAGCGTGGAAATAGCTTGGGGGGAGCTCCGCTGGAGGGAGCGAGACGGAATCGCCGGGCAGGCGTGATGGACTTTGAAGCGTGGAAATAGCTTGGGGGGAGCTCCGCTGGAGGGAGCGAGACGGAAGCGACGGACGGGCGTGGGTGGACTGTGAAGCGTGGAAATTGCTTGGGGGAAGCCCCGCTGGAGGGAGCGAGACGGGAGCGCCGGACGAGCGCGGATGGATTGTGAAGCGTGGATAGCTTGTGGAGGGAGCAAGACGGGACGTGCGTGGGGAGCGAGACTAAAAGAGCAGAGCTATTGGCTCGGATTTTTCAAGACAAATTCCATCAGCGCGATTGTCCCGAAAAAAATGGTGCCAAGGACTTCTCAAACGGTGTCGAAACGCTGGACAAAGGGACATGCCGGACATGCATGGGAAAAAGCTCTTTGCTGGAGGGCTTTTCATTTTGTTCGGCGTTCTGTCCGTCGATGCTTGGTTTTCGCTCCCTTTGCAGTGAAGCAAACTAAATGATAAGCCAAGCATAGGATATGCATCAGCGTGAACGGACAGGTGGGGCATTCTGGGGCAATAGCTTGGGAAGAGCTCTGATGGGAGGGAGTGGCCCTGAAAATGCGGAGCTGTTGGCACGGGCTTTGCACAGAGGATCTTTTACACGGAGAAGTGCGCAGGGAGGACTTTACACACAGAATCTTTTACACAGAGAAACTTTTACACAGGAAAGGTTTTACACATAGAAGCTTTTACACAGAGAAGACTTTATACAGAGTAGTCTTGACACAGAGAATCTTGCACACACAGAGGCTTCTACACAGAGAAGCCTTTTACACAGAGCAGCTTTTTCACAGAGGAGCTTTTACACGGAAAAGCTTGTACACGCAGAGGCTTTGACACAGAGAAGTCTTTACACAGAGGAGCTTTTACACAGAGAAGCTTGTACACACAGAAGAGCTTTTACACACAGAAACGTTTACACACAGAGGAGCTTTACACACGGAAGCTTTTAAACACAGAAGCTTTTACACGGGAAAGCCTTTACCAAGAGAAGCTCTTCCACACAGAAGTTTTTACACAAAAAAGCGTTTACACAGAAACTTTTACGCACAGAAGCTTTTACACACAGACGCGTTTACACAGGAGCGTTTACGCACGGACGCGTTTACACACAGAAGCCTCCACGCACAGAAGCTTTTACGCAGAGTAGCTTTTACACAGAGAAGTCTTGACACAGACAAGATTGTACACACAGAGGCTTTTACAGAGAGAAGCCTTTTACACGGAGAAGTTTTTACACAGAGGAGGTTCTACGCAGAGAATTCCTTATTACACAAAGGATATTTACACACAGGAGCTTTTACACACAGACACGTTTACACACAGAAGGTTTTACAAATAGAGGCTCTTTCGGCGCACAGGAACTTTTACACAGAGCAGCTTTTACACACAGAAGCTTTTACACAAAAAAGCCTTTAGACAGAGAAGTTTTTACACACATGTTTTTTCACAAGACAACTTTTACACAGGAAAGTTTTTACTGTACACAGCTTTTACGCAGCGAAGCTTGTACACACAGGGGAGCTTTTATACACAGAAGCTTTTGCACATTTTTTTTATACACAGAAGCGTCAGAAGCTTTTACACACACACAGAAACTTTTACACACAGAAGCTTTTACACAAAAAATGCCTTTAAACAGAGGAGCTTTTACACACAGACGGGTTTACAAAGAGGAGTCTTTACACACGAAGGTGTTTACACAGGGAAGCTTTTACACACAGATACTTTTACACAGAGTAGTGTTTTACACAGAGAAATCTTTACACAAAGAAGTCTTGACACAGAGAAGCATGCACACACAGAGGCTTTTACACAGAGAAGCCTTTTACACAGAGCAGCTTTTTCACAGAGGAGCATTTACACAGAGGAACTTTTAATAACTTTTACACAGAGAAGCTTGTACACTCAGAGGCTTTGACACAGAGAAGTCTTTTACACAGAGAAGCTTTTACACACAGAAGCTTTTACACAAAAAAGCCTTTACACAGAGAAGTTTTTACCCACAGAAGCTTTTACATACCGAAGCTTTTTCGCAAAGAAACTTTTACACACAGTAACTTTTACACACAGAAGCTTTTACACGCAGAAGTTTTTATAAAAAAAAACCTTTACACAGAGGAACTTTTACACAAAGAAACTTGTACGCACAGACGCGTTTACACACAGTATCACACAGTAGCTTTTACGCATAGAAGCTCTTGTACAGAGAAGTCTTTACCCATCTTTCATCATGTCTCGTTTTTCATGATCATTCACCATTTGTCCTCTTCATATTCTCTTTTTCAGGCTCTTTTGGTCAACTCCCTCCCTCTGCGGCGAAGCAAACTAAACAAGAACCAAGGAATAAATAGCGACTAGAAAGATGGGATAGAGTTAATTACATTAGCAGAAATGGCGACTAGAAGAACGTAGATGTAGCTGACACAGCATCCTTTGGTGAATTGTGGCCCCTGATGCCATCAGTGCGCACGATGTTTCAGGAAAGATCTCGCGTCAATTTCGTGCAGAGCACAGCTGCCCACACCAAAAGATTTTTAAAAAAGGGCGTGCTGTATGCCGTCTTGCCTTTGGGTTCTCTGGCCCACCTTGTTTTAGTTAATTAACCAGGTTGATGGATTTCACATGTTCACGCAATGTCAATGCCGGACGAACCAACCCCCACAAAGCAAACTGGGTGCTTCTACGCCACCAGTCGGCTGACCACAGGAGCTCAGCAAGCTTCATGAGAATGAGCTGAGGGTCATGAGAAGCGAGATCCAGCAGTCACTCAGGTTGAAACTACAGTTGTTGTGGAACTAGTAATGTCAAACAAAAACTGAGGATACGATTGGCTACCAATTGGCCATAGCATCATGAATTGTGAGTTCTGATCGCAGAAGAAGGGGCTGGGGTCAAATCTGTGATTTAACCCGTTTGTTTTGGGGATGTTAACATACGGAATTGCCAGCTATTTTGGTGCGAACAGCATGCTGCCAGGCCCATTTGCTCATAAACAGTCCGTTATCGCCAATTATCGCCATAGGATGCCACAGGTTAGTGCATGGGTTAGTGAAATTTTATTACTCAGTGTTCCCGTGCTCGGAGATGCTCTTGGCCCACACGCAGCCTGTAGCTGATTACTACAGATTGGTTTCGGACCCCCATCAGCCTGGTAATTTTTCGTTACCCCATGCCCTCATGGAAACGCTGTGTCGGGCCATGGAGTTTCTGCAGCCTTTCGACATAGGATTAGACATGGCCCAATCGTTGCCTTCTTCGATCTTCTGCGTTACATGTAAGGGCTTACTGTAAGGCGTAAGGGGGTGTCGTTGGAGGGCCTCACCTTCAGTCTTAAGCCCCAGATAGCCCCAGGCTGCGTGCTGATCCTTCGTGCAGGATTTTTCCACGGCATCTTGGCAGATGTGGCAGCAAACGTGAGTTTGCCTCATATGGGGATGGCCCCACAACCCTTTTGACATTGTTTGACTGGTGATCCCAAGCATGTTTTATTCTGCATCCACCCCAAGGTCCTAGGACGTATAGGATCCCAATCGACCAATCTTTGCAGGAGTGAATGAAACCGCCAACAAGTTTTCATGGTGAAATCATCCTTGGCACGGCAGACATATCCCAAGCCTGCGTTAAGCCAGACGTCGCATGATGTGAGGCCTTCTGGTGACCTGGTGCTGCCCAAGCAGCAGGCACCTGACAAGTCTCGGGTTTGATCCAATCCGTTTCACTTGGGTTCTTTGAGATTGAACCTCCCCCACAGGAGCTGCTTCAAACGGCAAAAACTCCTAGATGTTGCATGATGTTGCTGTTGTTATATAATTGTTGTTTTTGGTCTTGACCATCATTTTTGCGCACCCCAAGTGCGACCCATCCCCATGATTTTGAAGCATCCAAGAAGCGTTGGATTGGTTTTTTAAGCGACAGTCCGTTGAAGGCCTTGTGCCCCAATATGGCGCCGTCAAATCCTGTGCCCAGCTTGGAGGTTTCTCGGCAAATCAAAAGTAGGGTTGCCATGAAGTTCTTTTGGTTGCTTCTGTGATCTTCGTAATTGCTTGGTGGTATTAGTATGTATTACTGCATTACTGTTGGTTCGAAATCATTTTCACAAAGCTCACGCATATACAATACACTTTTTTCTTATATATTTTTATATATTTTAATATATTTTAATAAATCATCGCCAATGTCGGAAGAGAGGGAGGAGGAAACATATTAATGCGCACAAATATATATATATATATAATAATTTATATATATATGTGTGTAACATCTAAATAGATGTAAAACTTCTCCCTTTCTCTTTCTTCTTTCCTCTCCCTTTCTAATTGTGCAGGGGGACACAGCATTTCACTGGGACTGTGTCCAACGAAGCTACCAGTGAAATGGGATATCCAGCTTGGCCAGCTGGACGTACCTGCAATGCGTTGATAATTTTTGTTTTCCTGACTGATTTGCATGTTACAGGACGCAGTTCCTGATGGATCTCTTCAAAGATCCAATTTTGTTTAGCGTGATACCTATGGTGACTCCGACAAGGTGCCATAGGGCCATTTGAGGCAACCTCGTTTGAGGTGACTGGAGACAAATCGACTACCGAATTTACACATTTTAACTTGGTAATTCGTTTAAGTAAAGGGTAACAGCTGGCCTTGCGTTTATCAGCCTTTTGCGATGTCCCGCCGATCCTGCGGTCCCTAGTGACACCTTGTGACTTGCATCTCTACCAGCGGGAAGCCGTTCGAAACAATCAGACACCTCCTTTTTCTCGCTGCAGATCAAACTTTTGAAGCGACACATGACCATGAAAGAAGTTGCAGGCAGGCACACGCTTTTCAGGTGTGGCCCTTTTCTTTTTGGTACTCTGGTGAGGTTGAACATATTGTGCACCTAATTCGTTGGAACTCGTATAGCTGTTTATGCCATTGCGGCACGACTTGACAACGGTCCCGAAGGGGAGTAACGCAAGACCTCTAGGATAGGCGAAACTGAGTCCTTGTTTTGGTTAATTGTTTTGTTTTTTCACTCTCGTCACTAACTGCCGTAGATGGACGAAATATTCAAACCCCTTCTATCCGGTACAACCCCCTCGCCCCCAAAGTTCAATGTTATTGTAACCTGAAGTGCGTTAGCCCCAATGGACGAAAAAAAATCAAACCCCTAACATCACTTTTGCTAACACGCGCGCTGAAACATTGAGATTTGGGGGTGCGGGGGTTCAACATAGTGCGTGCTGCAGGGTTTGAATATTTTTTCCATCTACTGTAGTCCCCTATTTGGTCCCTAATTCCTTTTCCCCCCGTGCCTCTCCGTAATGTGTTGTGGGTTTTAGGTGTGTGCTCTGTTTTTGTCAGGTCCGTTTCGCCGCGTAGGTTGGTTCTGGAGGTCCGTTCGTTCCCTTCCCCCCCCTGCGCTGTTTTGGCCTTTTGCCCGTCGTCTGTGTCCGCTTTTTTCTTCCTCTTGCCTTTCAGGGTTGGCCCGGCTCCGGCCGGGTGTGTGTTTGTGTGTAACAGTGTAACATCTAAATAGATGTAAAACTTCTCCCTTTCTCTTTCTTCTTTCCTCTCCCTTTCTAGTAGTGCAGGGGGACACAGCATTTCACTGGGACTGTGTCCAACGAAGCTACCAGTGAAATGGGATATCCAGCTTGGCCAGCTGGACGTACCTGCAATGCGTTGATAATTTTTGCTTTCCTGACTAATTTGCATGTTACAGGATTCAGTTCCTGATGGGTCTCTTCAAAGATCCAATTTTGTCTAGTGTGCGCGCGTACAATGCATGCTGCATCACTTTCCTGCATGTGTGCCCCATAGTCTTGTGATTTTTCTGTTTTTAGAGGCTCCAGCTCAAGCTCCGCAATGAATCAACCGAAGTTTCATTCGCCGTGCTTGGATTGCTTTGATGTACTACTAATCCATGCACTTGTTTGTCTCCTATCGACTTTGGCAGGCTTGTTTCTGTGGTTGCAAGACACGTGTCATCTGATGCCCTTTACCAAGTATCCTCTTCTTAATCAATCTTACTTTTTCACACCATATCCTTCCATAGCTCATATAAAATTCACCAACTATTCACCGACTATCTTTTACGACTACCATCCTCAGAGCGGCTTGAAAAACATTTTTTTCGCTCTCGGGCCAACCGTCGTCTAGTTGGTGACTTACTGGAAGAAATTGACATGTGGGGTTATCCGGTCCTTTAATTTTGTCGCATGCCATGTTTCTACATGTTTCGACAAGGTGGAGATTGACATTCTTCCTCCGCTTTCAGAGCCACCCAGCCGCAGATTTTGAATCATCCAACTACGTAATTATGTGATTGAAGCACCGCTACAATGCTATACAAATAGTTTCAACATGTGATCTTCCGGTTGGATGTGGTTTTTTGAGGGTTGTTCATGAGGGGCCGGGGCGCCATTCTTTTGTGATGTGAAATGCCCAGGGAAGAGAAAGAGGCGAGCGGCGCTCAATGCACTGTGACCTCGAGATATGGTTCGCTTGGCCTTCCCAATGGTTCTCTGTTGAAGGGGAATTTTGTTGTTACAGAATGCTGCCACCCGCGCTGTGGTGCTGGAGTCTGGAGGTTTCTGTTATTGTTGTGATTGGGTGGAGTGGTGTGGCTCTCGCGCTTTCACCTGGGCAAAGAAATTGAGTAGGCCGCTGGATAGTTTTTCAGTGACCCGAATTGATACTTGGTCGATGGAACCACCTTTAGATCGGTCAGCATTTCGGATCATTGTAATGTTCCCAAAACAACGCATTGATTTTGCAAGTGGCACAGATGTGAGCCACTGTCACCCTTTTACATGCAGGCGTCTGTTGGACGTCGCCCTTCTCGAACATCTGTGCTTCCTGGCAATAATATCTACAGGGAGTTGTGTTGTGCTCATATATTCGGTTTGTTCGTTTCAAATGACTAGTTGCAATTTTCCATACCACCCCCAGATGCGTAGTTGACTTCTAGAATTTTTAACGGGCTTGCGGCTTGAAACATTGCAAGCCACCAGCCGCACTTTGGAACGATGAATTAGAAGTTCACAATTTCATGGTGTGTTCATCCCAGGTTGGATCAACCAGAAATCGTCAACTAATGTCATGCCTCGGTGTTTTGCCACCAAAGCCTCCCATTATGGATTTAAGATAGTAGTCATTATGATGTATCAATATACAAAATCGTCCATGCAAACATACTATATTGATGCATTACTTTTCATATTTTCATGTTATAGAAAGTGATATGCATAACAAAAATACATATATATATATACATATATATATACATATATATACATATATATATATACATATATATATACATAATTATACATATATATATACATATATATATACATAATTATACATATATATACATATATATATATATACATATATATATACATATATATATATACATATATATATATAGCGTCAAAATATCAGCACTGCAGATAGACAGCAGAATGCGGGGATATTTCTACATGACGAAGCTTTCCTCCCAAGGCGGGACATGGAGGAACGCAGTGAGGATCGAAGCAGCTATGCGAGCTATGGACGTAGCCCTAGCAGAAAGGGTACCAATGACTTGGCCAGAGAAGCAGCAAAAGAGACTCGGCGCAAAAAATTAGGTTGTTGCTTTTGATTTGAACTAGTTGGCATCACTAGCTGATAAGCTACGATACACACGGCATTATTTGTTTATTTGTTTATTTGTTTATTTACACTCTGGTAAACTAACGTGATGCAAATTTCCCGCGTATAACGATAGGTTTTTCCACGTTAGGTATGTGTAAAATGGCCATATCCCGATGATAGCCACGTTAGTTGCGTCCTCCTTTTGATAAATCTATGTTATACGTGCGGTGGAGAACAGGATGATAGCCACGTTAGTGGGCTTCCTTCCATGTTGGAAACCTTGAATGGTGTAAAATGATAGCCACGTTAGTGGGCTTCCTTCCATGTTGTAACCTTTGAGCTGTAAAATGATAGCCACATTAGTTGGTTGTCCTTGGCCAGGGTCTCTGGGGAACATGCTGGTCTGGGAGACCCAAGTGATAGTCACGTTAGCACTGTAAAATTCGAAAACGCACGGTTACGTTAAATTACCGGAGTGTATCTTATTTATTTATTTATATATATATATATATCCAGGCAATGTTAGGAGTGAACTGCACAGGGCCGGAACATCTGCATTTATTTTTGCTGGTGGGACCCAAAAAAAGTGATTATTACAATGACGGCAGCAAATGAGCACCCGAGGGCCCGATGGCCAGGGTTTTAACCCATACGTAGGCGACAGTATTGTGTCGTTGTGTGTATGAGTCGTTGTGCTTGGAAAGTTTTGTAAGGGTTGTTTGCAGACACCATGTTGCACACCACACATGCCTTTGCTGGCGGGGTTCCGTAAGAGAGTTTGCTCCAGAGTTTCATGCCATTTTGGTAGTATTTGGTCACGTGGGTCAACAAGTTAATTGGCTCAACAAAGACAAGATTGTGTATAGATTGCGCATAGATTGTGCGGATTGTCTAGACGCCAAGATGATGGGACAAAGCCGCCTCTTGGTTCTCATTTTCGCCTGTGGCATCACCTCAGCAGCTGCATCTCATAAGCGTGGGATTGCGAAGGCCAATCTCCAGGAACACCAGTTGCATGCCCTGAAGCAAGGCGTGTCCTGGGGCTACAATTGGGAGCTGAATCCACGAATGCAATGGAACCGTGCCCACATGGATTTCTTTCCCATGGTGCACAACAACAACTTCCCACGAAACGCTGGGGGTGGGCAATTCCGAGCCTTGTTGGGCTTCAATGAGCCGGACATCCACCACCAGGCAGCTATGAACCCATGGCACGCCGCAGCCATCTGGCCAGAAGTGGAACGCGTGGCACGAAACTACGGAGTGCAGACCTTGGTCAGCCCAGCCATGTGCGGAGACATTGGCAAAGGCACTTGGTGGATGGGAGAGTTCTTGAAGGCCTGCAAGGGTTGCCGCGTTGATGCCGTTGCCATCCACAGCTACTGGTGCAGCCTTTCGGGACTGCAGAATCTGGTGGAGAACTACAAGAAGTTCGGCAAGAAGATCTGGCTCACCGAGTTCGCCTGCGCAGATCAGAACTACGATGTGTCCATGCAGGGTCAGATCAAATTCATGAAGGAAGTGGTGCCATGGTTGGAGCGAGAGCCGGCCATTGAGAAGTACCTTGAAAACCAAAATTATGCCGAAAAATTGGTGCTTCTGGGTGCAACAGTTCTCGTCCCAACTTATTATAGACGTTATTGCATGATATTGCATTTGGGAGGGGTTCGTCTCAGTTATACCAAAACGGTCCCAAAGCAGTAGTTGACTGACATTCCCATTTGCCGAAATTTTGGGGAATAATAGCGGAATTTCCCGGAAGGAGATTTGCAAATAAATTTTGGGAAACTTGCGATTTTGTTCTTTATATTTCTTTATGAGATTATTTGTTTTGGCTTTAAAATCCACCATGACAATTGTATATAATTTTACACGTTGGATTTCAAGGTACGCATGGTTCAGCTACTTCACCAACGAGTGGTCCTATGGCATCACCAATCCCAACCCAGATGCGGGTCTTGTGAACTGGAACGGTGCATTGTCCGAGCTCGGACGTGTCTATGTGAGCCTGGGGTCAGGGCGACGGCTCACAGGAAACGAGACTGAGAATGTCACCATGCCAGAGTTTGAATCAAACTACACCGCGCCCATTTTCGCGTGAGGGAACTTGGAGGAAACCAATTCTTAAGGATCTTTGGGTTGAAAAATGAATCTCTGTCACATGTTTATCGCAGAGTTGTTGCAGAATGTGACCCTTGAAGTTGGTCCAAGATCCCAAGGAATACCCAATATTTCTGCGCCAAGCAAATGCAGCAATACCAAAAATCGTTGCACCAATTAAACCTTGCCCGGCCCATGGCCAACACGCAAGCTAATCCCGTTTTGACGCAGTGCAAAGCCTGCGATTTTTTGGGGATGTGAGGCCACTGTGGTGACGATGTCGCAGTGGCCAAGTCCTCTGCTTGTTTGGCAACTGGACTTGCCAGGAAACCTGCTCCCTCCATGGGCATCAAACTTGTGCCCGGGGGACTTGTGTTTTAATTACAAAGGAAATTCACATTCTCGCCAGTCGCCAAACCATGTTAGAACAAGCTATAGCATGGACAGGGTGCGACATTTTGCTGGGCCATGAAGGAGACAAAATGGTTCCTTGTGGGGTCTTGTGGGCTCGTCAAGCATGCATGTCCACATTCATTGATCGGGAAAATCCGGTCATCGATTGGTATATTTTTTCTCAAGGGATTTTATACCAAATAAAAACACATACACCGACACAATTTGGGTTGGTGATGGTGACCATAATTGTGGACTCCCCATTGCTACCATGGGTTCTCTTTTTGCCACATCACCAACATCCATGGCCCCAAGGCCATGATGTTAGGGCAACTGTCGTCACCGCCAGCGGCCTGCAACAAGAGCAACAAGAGCGACGATGAGACGCCCAGCAGAAAAGAAAGCTTCTACAGTGGCTTGGCCGAAGCTTTGGGTTGCTGAGAGTTGACCCAGTTACATCCTTTCAGCTTCAGTTATAAGCTTCAGGTTCAGTTTAGAGTTCAGTTTAGACTTTGAGGTTGAGTTACAAGAGTCACTAGCCACTCAAAGCTTGGAACTTGCCAGTGGGGGATGGGCAAACCTGAGTCGGGTTGTTGGTTTAGTTTAGGAATGTTTAAGCGCACATCAATACGTGGAGCTTTTTGCCGTAAACATATATGATCAAATAAATAATACATACATGCACACACACACACATATATGAGCCACCGCAAAAACCCCGGCAATACTAAATATGTATTGGACGGACATTGGTTTATGGAAATTGATGGAAAATAAACACACACGGTAAGCGATGGGACCTTCCCAAATTAGCGATACCCCTTTTCAAGGTTATGTCATTGTATTTCTCTAATATCCACATTAGCGATACCCAAATTGGACGTTGATTTCTGTGAATTATATATATATAAATGTAGCAGTTTCCTGCAAGCGATACCCCCCAAGTTTACCATATATTATCATTATTGTCAAACGTGTGGTAAGCGATGGGACCTTCCCAAATTTGTGGATGTCCTTTCGGTGAACCTAGGGTTTTCGAGATTATATATATATATGTGTGTGTTATGTATAATATTTAGCAGCCACAGTCAAAAGAATACCGTGTACCCAGCATCGGCCATATAATACATTTGTATATATATATATTTTTCTCTTTTACAAATGTTATACATGTAATGTGTGTGTGTGTGCGTTTTATTCCCCACAACTTTGTGTGGGGTTCTTGTTTTTGATTCTGTATCCCGGGTGCCTCCCGCCTCCTCCTCCTCCTCCCTCCTGTCACACACCATCTTTCACACACAACTTTGTCACACACCATCTTTCACATACAACTTTGTCACACACCATCTTTCACATACAACTTTGTCACACACCATCTTTCACATACAACTTTGTCACACACTATCTTTCACACACAACTTTGTCACACACTATCTTTCACACACAACTTTGTCACACACTATCTTTCCCACACAACTTTGTCACACACCATCTTTCACATACAACTTTGTCAACCACCATCTTTCCCATACAACTTTGTCAACCACCATCTTTCACATACAACTTTGTCACACACCATCTTTCACATACAACTTTGTCACACACTATCTTTCACACACAACTTTGTCACACACCATCTTTCACACACAACTTTGTCACACACCATCTGTCACATACAACTTCGTCACATACCATCTTTCACATACAACTTTGTCACACACTATCTTTCACACACAACTTTGTCACACACCATCTTTCACACACAACTTTGTCACACACCATCTTTCACATACAGCTTTGTCACCTACTTTGGCACAATCTCACATCCATGACCCCGCGTGGCAGGCGTGGCATTTGGTGACATCCACCTTAATTTCACGTGGCAGGTGTGGCACAATCTCACATCCACGGTCGTTTCCACACAAACTTAACATACATTGACGTACAATAACTTCACACACACGGCACTTCTGCGAGGCAGGCGTGGCACTTGGCGACATCCACCTTGATTTCACGTGGCAGGCGTGGGACAATCTCACATCCACGGTCGTTTTGCGTGGCAGGCGCCTCACTGGCACTCATGGCACTGGGTGGCGCCCTTGGGCCCGGTATAGTCGCGCGTGACGCCCGTGACGCCGCGCCAATTCTGCGTGGCAGGCGTGGGACTTGGTGACATCCACCTTCGTTTCACGTGGCAGGCGTGGCGCAATCTCACATCCACGGTCGTTTTGCGTGGCAGGCGTGGCACCATCTTTGACACACCCTCTTTCACACACCACTTTGTCACCCACCATCTTTCACGCACCATCTTTCACACACCACTTTGTCACCCACCATCTTTGACACACCATCTTTCACACACAACTTTGTCACACACCATTTTTCACACACCACTTTGTCACACACCATCTTTCACCACACCATTTTTCACACACACAACTTTGTAACACACCATCTTTCACACACACCATATTTTACACCCAACTTTGTCCCACACCATCTTTGACACACCATGTTTCACACACCACTTTGTCCCACACCATTTTTCACCACACCATCTTCCACACACCATCTTTCACAACACCATTCTTCACACACACACACAACTTTGTCACACACCATCTTTCACACACCACTTTGTCACAGACCGTCTTTCACACACAACTTTGTCACACGCTCTCTTTCACACAGAACTTTCACCCACACCATCTTTCACCACACCATCCTTCACACACCACTTTGTCACACACCATCTTTCACCACACCATCTTCCACACACCATCTTTCACCACACCATTTTTCACACACAACTTTGTCACACACCATCTTTGACACACCATCTTCCACACACCACTTTGTCACACGTTCTCTTTACACACAACTTTCACACACACCATCTTTCACACACTGCTTTGTCACACACACGCACCATCTTTCTTCGTCACACACCATCTTTCACATTCCACTTTGTCACACACACACAACTGTTTTAACTTCTCGATCCTTCACCGCCTCCTTTCCCTTTCCTTCCTTCCCCGTCCCTGCTACAACCTTTGATGCTCATTTTTGGAAGAAGTTGACTTGTGGGGTTATCCGGTCCTTTAATTTTATTTCTCTCTCTCTCTCTCTCCCTCCCTCTGTGCAGAAAACAAGTTCCATATGTGATGAAGTCATATCATTTGCCGGGCGAAGCTACCAGATCCAATACAAGGGGGCCTTTCTCGTCGTTCATGCGAGGCAGGAAGGAGACGGATCAAAGTGGCGGGAGCAAAAACAGCCGCAGCGGCAGCAAGTCCAAGGGACTGGAGAAAGAGAAGTTTGCCAAGCAGAAGGCTGGGCGTATGGATGGGGTATGGGTGCTTCAGGACTAATGACCATGCACACACACTCACACTTGTCTATGTTGGGGTGTCGCTGCTTTAAAGAGTTCTTGTTCAGACCTTTTAGGCCTGGGTTTAGAGGTGCGGGCGTGGATTCAGGGGTTTGCGGGTTGGTTTGTAGGGCTGGGGGGTGAGTGCACTTATTTGACAGTCATTGTGTGTAGTTGTTTGTTTGTCATTCCTTCTTATACGTTTTTGCCGCTACTTGTCATTATTTGTCATTCTGTACCTTGATCTTTATATTTCTTATATATGTATATTATATATTCATCTATCATCTATCAATATCTTTACCACCTACTGTATCCATTTATAAATCCATCTGTCTATGCATCTATCCATCTATCCATCCAGTCATCAATCCATGCACCTATCATCCATCCATACATGCACTCATCCATGCATAGATTTATCCACCCATACATACATTCGCCAATCCATCGGTCCATTTGTCCAATATACCCATCCATCATCCATGTATCAGTCTATAGTATCTATAGTATCTGATCTACAGGTATCTATAGATTCTATAGTGCCTATGACTATGGCATTCTTCAGATATAAGTGATTGGCTAGATAGTTTAGTTTCCGTTTGATTCGGTTCGTTTCAATTTGATAGGATGGGATAGCATAGGATAGACAAGATAGATAAATAAATGGTGGTTCCAACACGCAACCTTCAATCGATGATGATTTATGACCCCCAATGATCCACACTATTTCTGGTGTTTCATGTTGTTTCAACATATCAGGTCAGATCTTGGGATCTTGGCTCGTCTCTAGGAGGACTCTGAAGCGAAGTCTCAATTCGACCTCAGTGCCGAGCTGCCTTCCGATGCCACCTGCGCCAAGTATTTGGTGAGCGACCGCCCCCTGGCCGCCTTTCGAAAGAACATGCTGGAGCCATTTGTCTTGCCATAAACGCGGGAACATGCTAGAGCTTCTAGCCAGATGGAGAGAATGTAGAGTATCTAAGCCACTAATAGCTAGGATGGTTGAACGGAGACTTGTTCTGGTTGCTCGTTTTAAGTTATTTTAAGTATGGACGCTCCAGAGGATTTATCGGCAACAATAATAGTTACAGTGGGGATTTAATATGCTTTGTATATGCTAAATTAATAGTATAGCCACAGTAGTACTGGCCAGCCTTGTTCAGTGATAGACCGCCTGCCGGATGCGCAGTTCACATCAAGGGCCTGGATTCCAGCCACGCCCCAGGTTATGAGCTGATTCTTGGAGCTGTTGTGCTCTCAAGTGTGGTAATCATGGCCGCAGATTTCCATTTCACAGGCCTGGATTCCGGATATTAAAATTGGATCAAAAGCACAGACCATGCAAGGGACTACGATGAAGGCCTTGCTTCCCAATGCATGACATCTGGATCGATACATCATGATACCTCCGAGTTGTGATGCCACCATTCCAACAATATGTTGCTGTAGATACTTTAGCCCACCTGTTCAAAGCCGGTGCCCGCCACATGCAGGATATGTCATCGGGCAAGAGATTGGTTTCAAGGACATGTCAAGCCTGCCAACCGGCGACGAAAGTCCAGGTGCGGCCGCAGGACCGCAGGACCGGCCTTGCACAGATAGCTGACATCATACATGAAAATAATATAAAATAATAGGGTTTTCCATTATGAACCATCTACTTTGGGGTACCCCCATTGATGGAACCCCCAATATTTGTATTGATATGATATATTGTCCCATTGTTATCTCACAGCCTTTTCCGTGCCACAAACTGTCTTCAAATGTCTTGAAGCCTCGCTTGCCGCTGCCAGCTTGGATCGCGTATCTCACTCTCTTCATGGACATTTTCTTTTTTCTGGAAGTGGCAACGCGAGTTGCTTGGCCTGGGAGGAGTTGCAGTTCGAAGACCATTGTTGCAGCTTCAGAATATTTCGGAACTGCTCAGACCTTTTATACATTTTCATGTGGGCCTGTCTGAAAATAGAGTGCCCCAACATCCTATGGTGAATCATCACGTTCTCATTACATTGCCAAGGTGTTTGTGCTGCGATGGGTCTTCTTCAAGCTCTGGGTAAACTGGTTGGACCTCATCGTTGCTACATGGCTTTAAGCGGCACGGCACGCGCTGGCAGAGCCATGAACCAGTTGGACGATGTTGAAAATCAACGTCAAGGACTGCGTAGATTACCATCCAAAAACGAGAATGTATCGAAATGAATATTCTAAGCTAATATCACGCTTACTTTACCTTCTCAAATGTGTAAATCGAATTACTATAAATTGAAATGCATGTCGCTGTGCCTTCAAATGTGATGAAAGCAACGAGAATGGCCAGGCAACCCAGTATGATCCAAGTCTAGGCAAGTCATTGTTGCTGACCTCACCATACGAGTGCTATAAAAGTTGGCTACTGGGAAAACCCACGGACCACCATGGGCGAACTACAAAACATGCTGCTGATTCGGATAGGGTACTAACATTTGCAATATTTGCCAGTTCTTTTGAGGACCTTTTTTGGGGGTGCATTTTTCTCAATCCAAATGTGTTAGTCTTCAGGGTGGTTTCGCTGCGGCCTGCGTTTCCAGGTTTCTCTTGCACTCGGAGCAACTCGGCTTTGGGGGCTTGCATGCAAGCAAGCTTAGTTTTGACAAGGAGATAATTAGTCACGGTATGGCAAGCCTCTTTTTACAATGGAGCCAATGACAGCGCCAACCAGGATTAATTATCCATAACCCCCTTGTTAATTAAGATTAAGGGAGGTCATCATTTTTGATAGTAATGCGCCGCTCCTGTGGGTGTCCTCAATCGGTTTCTTTTCGATGACCTATAGTAGGTCCTGACTGAGTTGTGTTTTCAGAGAGCAGAATCTCTCAGAAAGTGTAGTTGTGCAGAGAGTGCCTTGCTGGGTCGACACAAACGGGCACTATGTATGACGGGCCATTGGCATTCCGTTTGAATTGATTCCCTGGTTGTTTCAGAGCCACACGTGGGTGTCATTTGGGTGTCAAATTTCCCTGCAGGTGGATATCATTGGTGGCCTGAGCGCTGGTTTCAACGTGGGGGTTATACGTCTGCTTCGGCTGGCGAAAATTGCCCGGGCTTTGAGCAGCTCCGACGAAGAATGGGCACCTTTGAAAGTGGACGTGTGATGAATGAGGCATTTATCTTCTGGTAATCTGTTCCAGGTTGCTATGGAAAATCACAATGTTTAATAGGTAAATGATCTATATCGATGGGCCATGTTCAATCCCTATGTTGAATTACTAGGGGGTATCTATCATTGTGTATCTGAGAGATCGGTTGAAACCTGGCATTTTCCATTAACGGGGTTGAACACCCAGTACCACCAGCTGTTTTGGTGTTCACCAGGTTGCCAGGTATTTGGCACATAGCCACATAGCCATATTTGACAACTGTGTAGTATTGTATAACCATGTGTTTATTGAAAAGAAATTCTGGCTATGGATTGACTGATCTCGCTATCAGAACTGGCTGGTGGGTTCAATCGTTTTTAGTTCCACGCCAACACATGAGATGACAATACCCAACACACCCTTATTTCCAGGAGAGTTGAGACATGTTGAGCCACCAATCAGGCTGGTAGATTCCAGTCATGGTAGCTGTCAGTTTAGCATTTTCTTGAAAGACGTTTCCGGAGTTTATTTATCGATTATGAATGTTTATTAGATCCTACTCCGATTTCTTCCTGCTGATTATTTTTCAATGATTTCATATGTGTCATTGTTGCATGCAGACAGCGAACAGATGTTGGTTTTGGCAAAGTGAATATCATTGGAGATATCCATATATTCAAGTGGCATTTTTATTGGACATTCAATGATGACGCACCATAAGATATGGGGTTGCCCTATTTTGAGACAATCCAAAACGTATACCTATTTTTTTACCTTAAAATTGAGAAAGCAGACCAACTCACATTATTTCCATGGCCTGGGCCCTTGCTGCCTTTGCAGCTGGGTGCATTAAAAGTTGTGCTTCATGTGCTTTAAGATGCAAACACATATATACATACGTACGTACGTACGTACGTACATACATACATACATACATACGTACATACATACATACACACATACATGCATGCATGCATGCATGCATCCATACAAACAAACATGCATTCATACATTTACACGCACACACACACATATATATATATATACGGCAAATGCCTGGGCTTTGCCCGGACCCGCAATGACGACAGGCGACGCATCATCATCATCATCATCAGAATTAAACCCTTATTGAAGATCTTCAATGAATGTAGAAGTGTAAGGGGGGGCGGAGAAGTAAACCCTTATTGAAGATCTTCAATGAACGTAGAAGTTTAACGGGGGTGGGAGTTTAATATTACCTAGTACCGTTGTTGATCTTCCCAATCGAATGTAAAGTTTAATGGTGGTGGGAGTTTAATATTCCCTAGTACCTTTGTTGATCTTCCCAATTGAATGTAAAGTTTAACGGGGGTGGGATTTTTACATTCCCTAGTGCCTTTGTTGTTTTTCTCATGGGAATTTGAGGTATAACCGGGGTGGGAGTTTAATATTCCCTAGTACCTTTGTTGTTTTTCCCATAGGAATTTTGTGAAGTTGCATCAACATTTGTTTGGGAATGGGGAACCTCTACGCTGCAACGCCTGGGCTTTGCGCGTATATATATAATATATATATATATACATGACCTATATATGGTCCAGGTGCCAAATCTGTATGGCAATTAATATCAATTAATAAATATAATATATATATATATAATTATATATATATATAGAAATATGTCTATATATATGTGTGTGTGCAGTTTTGTCCCTGGGTAATTGTTTTTCATATCCATTATTTTTTCTTCCCCATTAGCATCAGCAGCAGCTGCCGGCGCCCAGGAGTGGTTCGAATGCGACGGGCACTGGAGTCACTCTCATTGCTGCTGCGCTGTGTGCATTGACTGCAGTAAGCAGCAACACCCGGATGACGAGTGACTGCAACATATGCAAAATGCATCAAAATGCCAAGCCGCAGAAGATGAGCCGTGGAATTGTCCATGGAATATGCAAGAGAATCCATCATGATCCATCTAAATCATGTACTGTACTTGCATATACATATGGATATGTCTATGTATATACATGTATATACATGCATATGATTGTATATGAATATACATTTGACATTTGAATATGCATGTATATCTGTATATCCATATGTGTGCAGATGTGTGCAGCTTGGTCCTTGCAAATATATAATATATTATAGGTTCATCGTATATGTAACCAAACAAATTGTTTGCGGTTCAAAATTTAAGATCCGGATCAAGGCCGATCCATACCCGATCCATTGACACATGCGCCCCCGTCATTCCGGGTTTGTTGACGGCTGAGGTGCAATCGAGTCTGCAAGTGCTGTTTTGGTCTTTAGGCCTGCTGGGCGTCATTCAGTGCATCGCAGGCGGGACGGTTCTCTGAGGCTGCGCCGCGCCAACGATGTCTGATACTGAGAACCAATGCATGTCTCACTGCGCTGTCTGTCCGACTTGGATTTCTGTTTGTTGTCATTTTTCTCTGAGAATTTAGCTGGCTCGTAATTACTGTCGTTGGCAGACCCGGTCGTTGGGCTGGTGCTTTCAGTGGTTGTTTATTTTCAACTTTACTTTGGGATGATGATACCCAAGGACTACTATTTCCAGGAGGGGTTAAAACCAGCAACCTGTTCTGCTTTGCTGCCAACATGAACTGCAGGCATGGTCATAGGTCAGCTTCTGGTTCCCTACATGCGGGATACGTCCTATGATGCATTTCAGCTGCACGAAGTGAGAAGCACGCATGGATTTTTGAGACATATGTAATCATAATTTTCATAAGTATGGGCGTTAGAAATCTATGGCGTGCATCACTAAATGGGGACTACTACCCCTGTTATGGCCAGTGACTTGGGAAATGGTCTGTAGCAGCTTAGCATCTCCTGGGGCTCGGAGAGTGTGGTGAATGGAGATGTATGGCTTGAAAACTATCATGTGAATATACGTGCAACATACATACGTATATACACACACATATATATATATATAATAATAATTCATAATACCTAATGATAATAATAATAATGAATATATTATGTATAGACTTACATTACATATCAGTACAAAATTAGATACAGGCCTATCTATTTATAAATATAATCTCTTTGACTGCTAGAACATCGGAACATTCAAGACTCCAAGCGCTTCGCCCGGCAGGGCCTTTTTTGTGTTTCACTGATCTGAGGTGGAGGGCCGACATGAAGTCTACAAGTACTTCGGGACCTTCAGCCGGACATTCCTCACAATGTTTGAGGCTAGACAGCTAAAGCTTTTCTCTAGCCAGAAGGTTCATTTGGACGGTTGGAAGTGTCATCCGGGGTGACGTTTAGATTTGCCTTCCGATGTATAGAAGCTGGCAGCAATCGGTCCGTTTTGGATGTCATTGACCATTGCCCATTTGTCGCCGCTTTGGCTCCTCCAAGTGTTGCCGCTGCAGGTTCTTTTTGCAAACTGGGCGATTCCTGCGCGAATCTGTGTGGAAAACGTGGCTTTGGCTGACATGATTCCATTTGAATTTCAGCAAAGATGGGGGTGAAATTCGGTTTAATGGGATTGACGCTTCCATGATTTGCAGTATGAGCTGTGACTCAGAGAACCGCTTGCAGATCAAGGTCCTAGGTGAGGTGATGTGGGACCTGTCAGCCCAAATCAGCTTGCCAAGTCATTGGTGATCCCAAGTTCCCAAGATCCAATCAACTGCCACATGTTTGGGGTGGCTGAAGCAGCCACCAGCTGAGGTTGGTGAAGTTTTTATTTACGTGTTCATCTTCTATCGTTGTTTTGCTTCTCGGCTGCACTTTGGCCGCCGGAGCGGAACCCAGTTGCCAGGCCATGGTGCAGCTGTGCTGTGTCAGGTTGGCTATGCAGTGCTGAATGTGGTCACTTGGCTCCCTTGGTTCCGAGAACTTCCCGCCGAGAACTGCGCCAATTTTTGGCGGGATATGTATGGAATATGTATGGTATATGTATGGAATATGTATGAGATTGTTGACTTGCATGCCTTCCAAATCGTATCAAATCGTCATGAGGTTGTGTGAGGTTCGAAGTTGTTGGACTTCCCGAGCAGATGAACCTCTTAGCCACACAGCAACTCAACGGGTAGGATCCAGCTCAAGATCTGACAGATGACCCATTGAGCTGAGCTGTAGTTTGCCACCGTAGGTGTCCCATTGATCTGTATCCTTGGCAAACCTAGTGATGTATGCACCACGGTGCACTCATACCTCCCGCCAGAAATGGCTCAGGTATCAGCGGTTTTCGTGCAACCTGGATGTGGTGGAGATGTTTTTTCTTTTCCCCTTAAGCGGTTTAACCATGTTTAACCATGTTTAACCCACCGGTTGAAGACTCGGAGAATCTACCCTGCTCTACTGGAATCTACTGGAACATTTTTTAATGGCCCCTTGAGCAAAGCCAAGGCAACAAACTATGAAGGTTGCACAGCAGGATCAAGAGCCGCTTGGTCAAAAGTTTCAAGACTCTTTATCACGCTTAGTGGCAGTGTGCACAGCTGGCATCGCAAGCACATGATGTGATTTTCCAATTGCGACTGATTTGAGACAGGCTACTGATGCTTGACATTGTTTTTCAGGTATATGATGAACCTGAAGCAGAAGCAAGCAGAAGCGTATGCACAGAAGTTGAAGCGGTTCTTCATGACCTTAGATGCTTCAGGCGGTTCTGCAGACACGGCGGAACATTCAGCCTGCACGTGCTTCCACCTGTGCTCCACCTCTGCATGCCTTGCCGTACATCAAGATATACAGATATATACAGTATCAAGATGAAAGTCTGGTGAAATGTAGTGAAATTTCTTGATGCTTCTGCTATTTTCCGCTCACCAGCTGGAGTTTCCACAATGCCCAAAAGGATGCATTCGCATTCATGATCACTCATGCAAATGACCCATAATGTGGTAACCCAATGGCATATGCCATAAACATCATACACCTCCGATTGGGGATGGCAGGTGATGGTTTGGTCAGCTGGGAAGAGTTCAGCGTGCTGTTGCATGACCCACGGCTGCACGTTAGGTTTTCGGCCATATTCCGTGTACACGCAGCCTACGCGAATTAATCCCATCTCCCCATGATCACGTACCCGCCTAGAAACCATGATTCGCTGTTGGATCTGTTCATTTTGGGAGCCATTTCGAGGGTATTTATGGGTTACTAATTCCAGGAAGAGAAGACACTTTATGATTTTTGACAAATCAATACAAATCGAAAATCTTTAAAATTATTTGACACGAACTGAAAAGCGGCAAGACTGCACAAGAATGCATGCGGCTTGCCAATTTAATCCAATTTAGAAATTGAGGTGCGACTAAATTGGCAAGGTAGGAGCATGTGGTGAGCTTAGATGACTTGCCGTAGGAAAGATTTACTATGATTCATGGATATCCGCACTTGTAAATGGACATGTACAGTAAACATGATATCATCATAGTCAATGTTTGCACATGTCTTGGTTCATAGCCCACCTGTGCAACGATCAGGGGCAACTCAATGAGGAGCGTTCGAGCAAAGCCCGCAGAGAGAGAGAGAGAGAGTGTCAATTAGACATGCTATTAGATAACATTAATTAGATAGTAGATAATTTAACATACATGATACATCATACATTTGCAGACTACAACTCATAATATCTCATAATAATCATAGATCTACCGTGGAAAGGATCATGACATGGCGCCCAGGACCCCCAGCTGCAGATCTGGATGTCCACCTTGGACCTGGAAACGCATGACCTGGTGCAGTTGTCCCAATCTCAGCGGGGAGTTTTCGTTGTGGAATCCTCCGGTGATAAATTCAGACCCATGTGATTCATATCATGTCATATGTCATATGAGGGAGAGAGATAATCAATGAAAATTATATATGTGTCTTTTATATGTCTTTTATAATGTATACATGTATGTGCCAAAAAATGCCAAAAACACATCACAAAACAACCAATGTGTGTGTGTGTGGGTGTGGCTGTGGTATTTGCAAATGATATTTGCAAGCACGCCCGCAAATGCCCACGGCTTCGCCAGAGAGTTTGGCAAATACAGTATTACTTGCATCAAGGATTTGGGATGCAATGCTACTTTCAAATGACTTAAGCAGCTTCATGTGATGCTGCTTCTTGAGGTTTCAGATGATCGATGACGGAGACGGTGAGATTTCAGTGGAGGAGCTACTCTGTAGCAAGATGGTGCTAGGGTGATAAAAATGTGATTTTCGGCTTTCAGCAATATTGTGTGATATTGTTGCTTGAGTTCATTCATATTCATATTTTGTTTGCAGTTCAGCACGAAGTGGGCTGGTGGCGCAGTAGGGTTAGCCAGCCAGAAGCGTTATGAAAGCTTTGGGGTTCTGCCCCCTAACAATAGCGTTCACACAACCCCTGCTGTAGGGGTTGATGGTTGTTAAAGATCCTTAGCAAGGCCTGTGGTAAATTGGGGTCACCAAAATTTGGGACTCGGTAGCTGTGAGGTTTATCGATGGTGCCACGCGTTTGCGGGGCATGGCTCGTAGTTTGGATGTGGCACAAGTTCTGACCGGCATCAAGAAAGTGGAGCTCAAGATCGAGGACCGACCTCAAAGCCGCGCACTTGATTGGATAGTTAGTTTTTCTAATGCTAAACCGGGATACATACCGACATATACTATACAAATCTATACAAGTATGGGACAAGCCAGCCATAAGCAATAAGAACATATCAAAACATTGTCTGCAGGGTGATTCATGACCAACCTTTAAAACATATAGCTAAATTGTGCGCTTGACTTTAATTCGAGAGACCACTTTCTAAATCTGATTTCTTCTCTCAGTTGATTTTGGCATATTTTGGCTTTTGTTGGCCTTCGGCCCTTTCTAAGAGGCGGCTGGAAGAACAAATGGTTGGTTGAGTTTAACGCACATAGGGAGTCCCTTTCAATAAATTAGTCGATCTAGCTGTTCCATGCTGTTCCCATTGAAAAGTGCAACTTCACGATTACCCGGATCCACTTCGACCACCTCAAGGACTTGAAGTCTTTGGTGGCGATTGGAAAGCGCACTTCTTTCAGGTGCGGGGTAATGTGGGGCGTTGGCTCAGTGGAGATCAGTGGAACAGAGAAATTGACAGCTTCCGGTGGTGCAATTTTGATGCAAACTGCCAGTCGTTTCGAAGAGATGCTATGTTTTCCAGCAGAATGCACATGCCTTATGACTTATGAGCTTACAACGAGTTAAGACGCGTTAAGACGTATATGTTTTATCGTGTTATCACTGAAGAGCTAGAAGAGATAGGCCAATGAGATAGCCTGGGGGACAAATTCCCCAGTGCCCGCTGGAGGAAATCCTTCGACAAGGCCTGAGGGTTTCTAGGGTTGGATGTTGGCCGCAAATCTGTGGGAACCAGCTCAGAGGTACCCAAACTAAGGAGCAACACACTGGGAAATATGTCAATTAGAGTTTCAATTAGAGCGAATTCCAGTCTCATGAGAATGATTCACAAGAAAAAAATAGGGTCATTACACATTGGTTCATTGATGTATGTCTATCCCAACAAAAATCCTCATCGATTGGTCCCTGCAACGCTTAGCTGCCAGGGTTCGGGGAAGAACAGCGCTACGGCCCGCGCTTCCCCGGGCGAGCGAGCCACTCCGTCAGCGACGCCACTCTTCAGCCCGGAGCTCTTGGGGGCTTCACCGGAGGTGAAATCGCAGCTGGCCCAGGCTGACCAGGCTCATCGCATGGAAGACTTGGAGGGTTGGAAAATGTTGGAACATGTTGAAACCAAGTGCGAAAATCTTCTCCTGCGCGCACACACACAGACACCGACACGAACACAGACACAGACACAGAAACACGCACACACACACACACGCACACTCTATTTTTGTATATATATATATGTATATGTATATATATATATATGTATATATTTATGTATATATATATACACATATATATGATCATATATGTATATAATTGTGTATGATATATCAAACTCCGCAATGCTGCCAGCCTGAGATGCAAATGATCAGAGCTCTCTTTGTCAAGGCTACTTCAGCTGCGAGCCGCACTTCGGATGGACAGCTGACGACATGACCCAAGCACTGAGCGAACATGTGGACATGTGGCTTGGAATGGCGTGTACAGCCAAAGCGAGGGTCGACCACTATGCCGTTCAAGGCAACACCCATGATGTTTGACTAAGAACAATGCTGGTTTTTGTGAGATAATTTTGATGAATCTGAATCCAACCATATTGTTTATCACTTGAGCCATCCTTAGCTGTGTTGCTTGCAGAGGATTCTCAGCAGGCACCAGGAAATTGAGTTGAAGAGATGCTGAAAACTTCAAGGCTTCGTTTCAATATTTCAATTTGAGTTGCCCGAGTTCTCCATCGCCGGAGCATTGGAGCTCCTGATTCACGGCAGTGCCGCGTTCCATTGTGGTCAGCCGAGTAGGTGAGGTCACGGTGAGGTCTCCAACATTCCACCAGTGCTGAAGAGGATCAAGCAATGAGAAACAGAGTCCAGGGTGCAGGATAGTAAATATTCGAAGATATATTCAATATCAAGGAATATGTTGTATTGGGGGACGGTCTGACACTTTCTCTCTTAGCGGTTTGGTTGAATAGTTTCTGAAAATTTGATTTTGTATTTTCTCAAAGGGTCCCAGGATTTGAGGCCCAAGGGGGTAGAAAAAAGGAACGAACTGTGGAAAAAAAATGAACAGAAGAGGAACACACGCATATTCCAAAAGACCCAAAGCGAATGAAACAAAAAAGAAAAACAATGGAGAGAGAGAGAGAGAGAAAGAGAGAGAAAAGAAAAAAATGAACAGAATAGAAAATAATGGAAAACTCACCAACTGGTTCTTGGGCAGGCAACTAGATGGTTTTTTGGGCATGCAACTGATGCTTTTCAGAACCTCAGGGCTTGTTTCAAGCCCCTCCAGTGAGGGTTGTGAACCTTTCAAAACTGAAAGAGGAAACAGGAAAGGAAAAGGTAATAGTAAAAGATAAAAGCAGAGGAAACCATCATACCTGTAAAAACACAGGGATTCGCGCCCTCCCATGTTTTTACGAACTTCCACGATCCTGGAATGTTACTGTCATCTACTGTTCCCACCTGCGAACTGCTCTTGCTACCTCTCTGGATGACAAGATGACAAGACTTACCATGGACATTCGTCCGTGAATTGAATTCCCTTGAAGAAATAAATGGGGGCAAGTCAAAATAGGAGGTCCGGAACAAGCTCCGGGACCACACCCGTTCCATACCCCCGTTCCATACCTCTGATCCATACGTTATAATATATGTAATTATATATATCTATATACTATGTATACATATATATATATACAATTATATATATAATATATATATATATATATATATTTGATTATGTGCAATCTGATTTTACATTTGTACGCGCATATATGAGCGGACGTACATACATGAGTGCATACATGCAAGAATACGTTTACTATGCCCAAGCCCTGTGATTGTGTTGGCAAGTCTGTGCCTGCAGCACTTACAGCTGCTACACTATGTTGTGTGATGGTAGGGATGTGCTTGGCTGCTGCCAGCTGGCAGTCTAAGAATGGATTGCTTGTAACCCTCCCTCCCTCTCAACCTGTGGCAGGTTTGTGCCTGCACCACTTAAAGTTGCTGCAGGCTGTGGCACAGCTGTGGTGTTTGATTGTAGAGATGCGCTTGGCTGCTGCCAGCTGGCAGTCTAAGAATTGCTTGCTGCGCTATTCTCGCTCCAAACTGCGAATTTTGATAAAGATGTGCTGCGTGGTGGCAGTGCTGTGCTGGAGTGGGCCGTTTCGTTCCAGACCCCGTTCCATACTGTTCCATACCCGTTCCAGACCTGGACCACCCATGTACCACCCCTGACCCACTGTTGAACACATGGCAGGTTCTCACATAGACTGCTCGTAAGCCATCCTTTGCGCGTGGGTTATGGGAGGGTAGAGTCTTGCTATGCAGGGACACAATCTACCCCATAAGGACCTCGGAGTTTTAAGAGTAGGAGGTGGGACCTGCGTGACAGGTCTGAAGCTGAGTCGACAGCTTCACATGGTAGCCAGTGGGTGACACTGGCTACCGGTCGTGTCGTATCTAGTGCACGAGCACTAGCCATGAAAGGAAACCTGCGTTGAGCAGGTGTACAACAAGGATGTCGTGCAGATGAGGAGTAGCTTCAACGTGCATATCCTTGAGATGTATATTATATATGTTACATATAATGTGTATATATATTTTATTTATTTATGTATAGCCTATATTTCATCACACTCCAAAGGTCCGGAACAAGACCAGTTACGAAGCCCCTTCGTTCCATACGTCCGGAACACCGCGGAACGTTCCATACACAATTTTGACTCGGGACCAAATGGACAAGTTGACATATATCTTTATACAATAATATCACTTTAACAAAAGTGAGAACATAAACACATAATAATCACAAATATTCAACAACATTTTTCAATTACTTTACTTCGTGTGATGCCCACCGTGACATTTTTACATTTTCTTACTGGCAAATCTTCTGGCATTCTATCTGACATATCTTCTGGCATTATCTGGCAAATCTTCTGGCATTCTATCTGGCATATCTTCTGGTATATCTTCTGGCATATCTTCTGGCATATCTTCTGGCATTCTATTTGGCATATCTTCTGGCATATTATCTGGCAAATCTTCTGGGATTCTATCTGGCATATCTTCTTGGCATATGTTCTGGCATATCTTCTGGCATTCTATCTGGCATATCTTCTGGCATATTATCTGGCAAATCTTCTGGGATTCTATCTGGCATATCTTGTGTCATTCTATCTGACATTTTATTTGGCATACCTTCTGGCATTCTATCTGGCATGTCTCATGGCATTTTATCTGGCATATCTTCTGGCATTCTATCTGACATTCCATCTGGCATATCTTCTGGCATTCTATCTGGCATATCTCATGAGGTCCGGCAGGGAACACTTGGCATGGATACTCGCAGATGAGGTCCGGCAGGGAACACTGGGCGTGGCTGGTCGTGGTTGAGGTCCGGCAGGGAACACTGGGCGTGGCTGGTCGTGGTTGAGGTCCGGCAGGGAAAACTGGGCGTGGCTGGTCGTGGTTGAGGTCCGGCAGAGAACACTGTGGATCGCGGGTCGCAGTTGGACGAGGACGACGAGGACGACGAGGACGACGAGGACGACAAGGACGACAAGGATGACAAGGAGGACGAGGAGGACGAGGAGGAGAGGAGGAGGAGGAGGAGGACGAGGCAGGAGGAGGCAACTGACATAAAATCTAACAACCCTCACCTGGCAGGTGGGGAAAAATGCAAATAAACAAATCTGGAAGCCGTGTCTCCAAATTAGTTTCGCAACAATTTTAGCCAAGAATCGGCCCGCATTTGATTTGATGCATATACTGCGTACAAAAATGCAGCAAAAAATCTGGGGGCAGACATGGGCAGACTATGGCACGCTGGGATCACACTGAGTACTATCAGTACGGAGTATTCTTGTTCAGCGGTTGTATTTAGTGCCCCTTGGTAATTTAACATAGCTACACATAGCTATACATAGCTAACAGCTAACAAAACATTTCCATTTTTAGGTAAGTCAGCTATAAATGGGCAAACACACCATCTTCCATAGCTACGCATAGCTGTGTCAATCATATAGGACTATAGGAAGGTATCACGAAGTGATTCGCCTGAATTTTGTTTCAAATGTCCTCTTGGCAAGCACCCACTTGGCTGGCCCGGCGACCGCTGCCTTTCCGATTCCGAGAAAGACCAGGAAGGCAGGCAATGAGACCCAGTTTACTTTATACGGTCCAAAAAATGGTGATACTTTTCGGTAATCAAACATGGTTTGCTCATGTTTGCCCGAAAATCACCCTTTTGTTGGATCATGTTGGATCATTTTCCCATTAGAACCTCCATTTTCAGGAATAACAAACCATTTGTAAATGGTGCCGAACATGTTAGTTTGGAAAAAAACTGGTTGTTTTAATCCTGTGTTGATATCCTGGTTTGCCAGTACCCAAACCCCAGATCCTAATTGATCCGAATTGATCCTGGTCCTTTCTCCACTTTGCCTACGTTTCAAGGTTTGATAGTGATGGATCATCTAAGATGGATCCTGGGAAACCATCACCATGGAGTGGTGCAGGCATTCCCTGTAGCTGCGATTGGCCCAGGACGACAGTCCCAGGCCGCTGCTGGAACCTCCAAAAACCGGAACCGATCTCCGAGGGAACCGGAAACAGGGGTGTCACATTGGGTCGACACAACCAGGTCGTCATGGGTCAAAATTGAGAACCCCAGAAACCTACGGATACCTACGGACCTACGAAGGGTAAAATTATTTTCCCGATCAAGAAAAAAATGACGCCTCCATTTTGAGACACATTACGAGTGGGTCGTCTCGGCAATCATTGTCCCTCACCACAACTTGGAGCACATCTTGGCCACAATCTCATAAATGCATGTCTAAGCATACTCTTAAAACAGATACGGTCTCCATTCTTTCTAATTATTGGATTTTAAATGAAGGCATCTGCGTCGGGAGCCAGAAAACCTTGTTCAGGGTTGGCCCTCCTTTGGACAGTATTAGATGTTCAAGGTGGAAATTCGGAAGATGTCCAACATGTCCAAGGCAGTTAAGAGCATAGTGTCGTTTGCGTGCCGACACGCGTTAAGACGTTGATTCAGAAGTGCTGGAATGTAGGACATATGCACCAAATGAAGTCATCAAAAATTATGGACCTAGTCAGGCTGATGATTCAAGCCTGGAGATGTCACAGGGACCCAAAAAGCATTCGCTTCATGGGACATCATGGGACCTGTTTGCTCAGAGTTGTGCTTTTGCACGTGCCTGGTTGTCTGATAAAGAACAGGGCTGAGATTTCCTAGACTCCTGTGGCAATAGGTGGCCATCTGATTTGTGGTCTCAATTTTTCCCAAGTCACAGCAGCAATCATTTTTGGGATGCTCTTCCAAATTCATGCACCTGGACAATCGGACGTTCTGCTCAGACATGCTTTGTGCAGCCAAACCGCAAGGTGGAAGATGGCCTGCACTGTGTACAATCATTGTTTCCACCAATTTTTGCGAGGGGCCACGATGGTACAGGGCAGTTGCAAGCAAACGCATTTTTTCAACCAAAATGAGTAAGCATGTAGTACAGCACATTTTTGGCGGTGATTATATATTGAATATTTTAATCATTGACCTACATTGTTTCTTCATGTTTCTTCAGTTTCTTACAGGGGTATGATGATTCAGATTCAGATGTTGCTCTTTTGAAGCGACAGCAAAACAACTCGGTCGCTGAGACGCTCCCAGAAACCGGGATGGCACCATGGAGGAGGAGGAGGAGGAGGAGGGAGTTGCATGTTCATTATATATCTGCCTACAAGACCTCGAGAATAGCAGAAGTGTAAGCTCATACCACTATGGATGGTGCGGGTGATATTTTGATGACAACTTACTCAAGCTTAGTCAATGCCTTGGTCGTGCCACCTTTCTGGTAGGTGAATGCCTACTTGCAAAGCTGTGGGGGCTTTGTGGCATGTCATGATGCTGGAAGCAAAGGAAGACTCTAAGCCTGACAAAGAGTTGTGAAACTGGAGCTCTTTGAAATGGGTTGGTGCGATGTTCAAACCGAAATTGACAATTGACAACGGGGAAAGCCCTGTGAATTATGAATCTCATTTTCATCTCATTGCTCGCCTGCTCGCATGCATGTAGTATACACTTCCACGCACACACATACATGGACAGGCAGACACACGCACAAACATATGCGCACATACTAGACAAGAATGGATCATTATATGATCCGGCAGGAACTGAATCCTGAAACATGCAGATTAGATATGAAACAACGAAATTAACGATGCACCCTACGAATAATGGAAGTCTCGGCGAAATTCTGAGGAAGGTTCTGATGCAGGCAATACAGATTGTGGCAACCGTGAAGAAATAAATAAATAGAAGTTGAGGTTCTTGGGTTGAGCCTCTTCCCATCGGCAGACATGGACAATTGAATGGAAGCAAACCCTGAACAACAGGTGATCACAACAACGCAGGTACGTCACTGGACGTCTCCAGTGATATCCTCAGGACACTGCAGAGAGCTTTGTTAAGTGGAGCTCTGCAGGCCTGCTCCACTCCCCTGCATTGAATTTAGAATTAGAAATGGAGAGGACAAAGGAAGAAAAAGAGAGAGAAGTTTTACATCTATTCAGATGTTACACACACACACACACCCGGCCGGAGCCGGGTCAACCCTGAAAGGCAAGAGGAAGGAAAAAAAGCGGACACACGAAGGGCAAACGGCCAGAAACAGCGCAGGGGGGGGGAGGGGAACAGACGGACCTCCGGAACCAACCTACACGGCGAAACGGACCTGAACAAAACAGCGCACACACCTAAACCCCACGACACACTACGGAGAGGCACGCGGGGAAAATTAGGGACCAAATGGGGGACTAGTTGATGACAGACAGGAAAACCAAAACAATTAATTAAAAACAGGATTCAGTCCCTAAACCTAAAGGTCGTGCGATTATTCCCTGCACCGGGACCGTGGTCAAGTCATGCCCCAATGGCATAAAACGGCTTTCAAAGTCCAACGAATTAGGTGCACAACATGTTTCACCTCACCAGACAACCATCAAAAGGAAAAAGACCACACCTGAAAGACATGAGCCTGCCTGATCCAGTTTCATGTAGTGTTGCCAAATGTCGCTGTGAAATTGCTGCAGAATAAGAGGTTTCTGAATGTTCGGCACAACTTCACTCAGTAGAAAAGAATTTCACAAGGATCTCAAGGGACGACAGGAGCCGCGGGACATCGCAAAATGGTGCATAACCGTAAGGCAAGCTGTTGCACTTTACTTAAACGAATTACTAAGTTAAAATGTGTGAATTCAGAATTCAAGACGGTCGACACTCACCCTGAAAAGGGTTGCCTCAAATGGCTCCATGGCACCATGTCGGAGCCACCATGGAAATCACACTAGACAAGAATGGATCATTATATGATCCGGCAGGAACTGAATCCTGAAACATGCAGATTAGATATGAAACAACGAAATTAACGATGCACCCTACGAATAATGGAAGTCTCGGCGAAATTCTGAGGAAGGTTCTGATGCAGGCAATACAGATTGTGGCAACCGTGAAGAAATAAATAAATAGAAGTTGAGGTTCTTGGGTTGAGCCTCTTCCCATCAGCAGACATGGACAATTGAATGGAAGCAAACCCTGAACAACAGGTGATCACAACAACGCAGGTACGTCACTGGACGTCTCCAGTGATATCCTCAGGACACTGCAGAGAGCTTTGTTAAGTGGAGCTCTGCAGGCCTGCTCCACTCCCCTGCATTGAATTTAGAATTAGAAAGGGAGAGGACAAAGGAAGAAAAAGAGAGAGAAGTTTTACATCTATTCAGATGTTACACACACACAGAAAACACACATCCACGCGATACACAGATCAGTGTAATATTTGAGACGAGGACTTATGAAAGAATGGTGATGCAAGTCCTTGCTTGCTTGTTGCCACTTCACCCTAGGCTCAGCAATAGTTGCCCCAGTGCCAAGGAATTCTCGTGGCTACTCGGGATTATCAGAGTGGAGATTCTCGGCCCAAGTTGGTGTCCCTGACATCCCCTGACCCAAATTTGTGTCGGCGCAGGGGTGGACTTCAGTGACTTCAGCAGTTGCCCCCGGTTGCCCCCGGTTGCCCCGCTCGCGCCCCAAGCCGCAGTCCAGCTGTCCCACTAGGAGGTCATCTACTCCGAACCGCCCTTACATATCATCGAGGTGCGGTGGAACCGCTGCATCTAGCGGTTTTTGATGGTTTTTGCGGGCGGTCGCTTTATTGTTTATGTTAGGCATTGGATGACATAGGTGTCTCGTGGGCTCATATCATATATTAACTTATATTAACTTCTTTGCAAACATCGGTGCCATTCATTTCTTCCAATGCCAGCAAGGCACGGTCGTGCCAGCATGCCTCATTTCAACGCCTTTTTGCATCTCACGGGCTTGTTACAAAATGTGATGCTCCAATCTCATGGATTAAAGACATTTTTCTGCATCACATTTCTAGTTGGTGGATGTTGGTGGTTTCAACATGTTCCATGTTCTTTTTCGACCCTGGAATGACGATGCTGAAGCACCATGGACCACCAACCCTGCCAGGAGGACGAGGACTCCGAAGTCTTTCAGCGCTTGGAAGATTTTGCTGCAAGGCATGCCTTGTACAGCGCTCGCTGGTGTCCCAGCATGTTTGAAGCATAGGCACAGGTTTGGAATGGCAGGGATGGGGCTGGGTTAACGGTTAACGCTTAAACATTATTATATTACCTTTTGATAGTGTATACCAGCATGTAACAGCTATCTTCGTTTGGAATCGCAAGAATAACATAGGTCAGTAAGAAGGGCAGAAGCCTCATGTAGGCCTGAAGACCATTTACTGATCTCCAGCACGCAGATATCCATTTGGCAAATCTGGGTTTTTAACATGCCACCACTAGTCCTGTTGGGCATCCAATTTTGGCCCAGTGCCATGTCACAAGCCTTGGCTGTCAGCACCATGTCGGATGGCTTCATAAGGTACTGGTGCGCTTTGAACTCCATGACGGCATCGGATCTGGAGCAGTTCGCCCAACTTCCTTGTTCCATCATATCTGAAGGCTACCGCCATCATTGGGATCAGTTGAGCCGTTGTTGAAGAGTAAATCTGTTCATGGTGCACTGGATCTTTGCGCAGCATTCCAATGTTAGAGTCACAGAAGAAGTCAAAAGTAAACACTGTCATTGATTCATGATTTCCATTGATTTCCAATATACGAGAAAGAAGTGCTCGCAGCAAAGACATTAAAGGTAAAGGGCAAACTTTAACAGCTCATTTCTGACTAAGTTGACAAGTAGACTGTCACACATCAGACAGAGGCTGTTGATGACCCGTGCCATCCCCTGCCCTAAAAAAACTGAGTTGAGATGAGATTCTCTGAAACTGAGGAGCCATTCCCCCCACATGCTTTTATCATCTTTTATCATCATTTTCTCATTTTTAAACATCATTAAAAAGGCCCAATGGCGATGAATGCTGGCCCGACTCTCCTGTGACCACTTCCAGCCAGGGCTCCAACGGCAGCTCCTATGGCTTTGCGCCCCTGATGAGCCGCTAGATCATGCTAGATTCATTCAGGTCATGAACATATATATATATATATATACGTAGATCAGGGGAAAACAGATGATGGGCAATTCACATGGATAATATATCCATCTATCTATCACTCTCTCTCTCTCTCTGTGCACTCATATGACTCATATGTATATATATAATATACAGTACACGTATTTATTTTCGTGCACTTGACTTCCTGTGACAAAAAGAGGCATGGTTCAAATTCAAAGAAGCTCAGCGGTTCAGCGACCGTCCAGGAATGCCTCGGAAGCTCTTCCAGTCTTTCAAGAGCTCCTGCATGACTTGGGAATGGCGGATGTTCCTACAGAGGTCACACGAAAATTTTGGCAACTCCTGCAGGTGCAGATGGGATGATTTTCCCTCTGGTAAACTAACATAGCTATAGAAAATGGCCCATGTATAGATACTTTATAATTTACCGTATACCTATCAAAAAGGATGATTTTCCAGAACCATGTTTGTTTACTGGAGGGTATTTGACCCAAATGCGAACAATGTGGGCAGTCGCAGACAATGCTTTCATCCGAAAATCCCACAAAAGGCGTTTTTCGATGTTTTTCGTAGTATCAGGTAGCAATTCCATGGCGTCTCAGGCAGCATGTGTCTACCTAAACCAACTTGTGCATGGCAACAGCATATTGACATATTGGCAAGGTTGGTAGGTCAATGATGATGCCACTTGTTCAGGTCTGGAAGTACAACAGCTTTGAATACAGCGATGATCCTGTTGCCTCTGCCATCTACTTGCAAGCATCGTTCCACTCACATGATGCCTGGCACGCAAGGTGTTTGCAGGGCGAAATCCCGATGTTGGTTGTAGACACTGGTTAGTTCCTACGCATCCAGGCATCCCATTGTTTCTTTCACTTCGTAGCTTTGATCCTTGCTAATAGGTCTAAAGCGCTAGTCCTCCACTAATTGGTGATTAAAAACATCTTCTAAACATCTCCATTGTTAATACTTTTCCTTAGTACTTTGGACAATGATCCATCCCAACTGACCAATATAAAGGCTGGGTCGGGGCCCCATCGATTGTTGTGAGCTGTGCCATAGCAATGGCAGCTGCTCACTGTACATGATGGAACATAATAAAGAACACCACCCCATAAACAGAAAAATAACTTGTCATATTTCGGCCATGTATCAATCATTTGAGAATTCTAATTATAACCGTCATTTCGGGAATCATCTTTTTTTTGGGCAGAATTGCATCAATCACCATTTGCCATTTACCCAAGATATAGCCACAGGACTTCCATGCAGTTAAGGACTGTAATCCCAATGCCAACTGGGTCGCAGATGATGCTGGCCTCACCCTGCGTGCACGGCATTTCATCCCTGAGCCTTGGCGTTTGCCACTGGGAAACGGGGGTCTCCCTGAGCCAATTCCTGTGACAATTTACGATTCACATCGATTCACCATTTGCAATGTGTACAGTACATTACAGTACCACAGATGACACACACAGAGACTCATATATATTATATATAGAATTATAATTATATATATATATACATATTATGCACAGTTATGTTATATGGTTTGCAGGCATATTTAGACTGTATACTTATGTACCTATTTTATCTATATATATATGCGTATTTACTGTATACGCATATTTATGGTTGTATACCTACATAATTACATAGTATATGTGTACACACATATGCATGGATACATGTAGACCTATTTGTCAGTATGAGGCCACAATCTTAATACATGTGTATTTGGATTTGGGCTAAGGCAGGGCAGGAGGTGACCATCAGCTACCTTTCAGATGAGGATCAGCCCTGGCCTAGCGTTTCTAGGTGCAAAGCTTGTCATGTGATCCCAAAGAACGGGAAACAACTACAAAAGATCAAAGAGTAGCAGGTGATGGTTCATTATTATTTTCCCCATGATAGAAATTGCCATGTTGGGCGTACGACGCACACCGCCAAATGATATGATGCTGACACTGAAGACGATACATCAAAGCTGAACTGCGGAGGAGCTCTTTGAATCAACGTCCCAACGACGGATGCGTTTGAAGATCTCAAAGGACAAGATATGGGAGATGCGTTTACACCTGTACACAATGTACACAATGGTGCCAGTGCCATTTGTGGTGTGCACCTATTTCAAGGATGGACTGGAACAGTGGCTGGATGTTCTCATCGGGTGTTTCCATGACAAGAAGATTACAGCATAGGGTGTTTCCTTACGTTACATTAACATTTTTTGTCCTGAAGAACCGAAGCCCTCAAAGTGGCAGGTGTGCCACCCACTAGGACTATATAGATACATGGCTTGACACACTTTAAAAGCTGCCATGCGCTATCAAATCCTACATCTGGGTCCATCGATCAATGGCCAATGAATTTGCCAATATCTACATATTGCCTAGGTATATCACTAACAAATGTTCGGTGTAAGAAATCCTCATGACTCATGACCTTGGATCTTGCCTGAACATACCTGAATAATGCCTGGTGTCTATAGCCCAATATCAGTAACTTCACCGTAAAAACAACAATAAACCCACCAGACCATATCCCACCATTCCTTTATCACATTACCTGGGCTGGTTGGGGGGTCGTCTGTGCACGTCAAAAGTAGGTCGTTTGTGCACGTCAGACGTTGGTCGTCTGTGCACGTTACTTTTGTGTGATTTTGTCATTGTATCTCTGTAACATGATTCTTCTTGTTGCTTTTTTCTTCACATCATCACACAACTCATCACTGTGTGTTTTTTTCCTCACATCTCTGTGTGGGGTTTTTGTTTTTAGGCTTGTATTCCGTGCCTTCTCCTCCTTCTCCTCCTGCGTTGCTCCTCCTCTCACACAACTCCTCTCATCTCACAACTCACACAACTCATCTCACACAACTCAACTCACTCAAGAGCTGCTTTCGTGTAGCATTTGGTGGAGCTGCTTTCGTGTAGCAGGCTCGGCACTGGCTGCTGCTGGAGTTGCTTTCGTGTGGCAGGCGCGAGAGTTTGACTTTCTGCAGGCAGCAGCACGTGTTGCTCCTGGAGCTGCTTCTGCGTGCTATGGGGACTTCCGGCGTGCGCTTGGACCCAACTCATTTCACACAACTCAACTCTTTCAATTCATCTCACACAACTGAACTCACTCAACTCATCTCACTCAGCGTTCCTCACTCAACTTCACTAAACTCATCTTTTGTGTGCAGAGGAACATGAACGCTTTTGTCTCCCCCCCCCGCTCCTGCCCAAGACTATGTTCAGGGTGCAATGCTTCAGATGACAGGCGATCAAGGTGCAGTGCTTTTGTGTGCAGAGGAACATGAACGCTTTTGTCTCCCCCCCCCGCTCCTGCCCAAGACTATGTTCAGGGTGCAATGCTTCAGATGACAGGCGATCAAGGTGCAGTGCTTTTGTGTGCAGAGGAACATGAACGCTTTTGTCTCCACCCCCCACCCCCAACCAAACCCTAAATGGCTGAGTCAAGTGATGTTTTAAATCCATGGATCCCACCCTTGTTCCCAGCATCAATGATGCTTTTGTCCCCCCCACCCCCCAGCCAAAGCCTAAATGGCTGGTACCCAGCATCAATGTGCGCGGATGACCGCTCTTTGTGCGCGGATGACCCGGTTTCTCTGTGCGCGGATGACTCGTTTGCAATGTGCGCATGTGCGCAGATGACCCGTTGACCACCTGGGCTATACCCAAATTTCTCCAAGTGGGGCAGGACTTCCACTGCTGCTGCCAGCGCTGTGCCGAGCTATGGGACCGCAGCCGTGGGGTGCGGTGCCAGTGCGGCCGCCTGCGCTTTCTGGACGTGGAAGGCGGGGATTGAAACCACTGCTCACATCAAAACTAATCCCTAATGATTAGCCGGATTACGGATTAGGGGTTTACGGTTTGTTTCTGGTACCAAAGATCAACGGTTTCGTTTGCTTACCGCAGGGTTACATTGATGTTTGCTTCAATAAGGGGTATCAATGAGTATTGTTGATATGGGAGGTGTTCATTTGATGTGGGTATTGCCAAAGCCCTTGGGCTGCAAAGGGGTGAGGTTGAGCGCTTCAAAACACTTGAGGTTGATATTGCTTTCAAAATGGGCACCGTTATTACTTGGTCGGTGAGATATGTGTATTTGGGATTCCTCGGTGAGATATGTGTATTTGGGATTCCTCGGTGAAAGGTTTGTGTGCGCACTGGTGATCCCAAAATGAGTGCTCCCCAGGTAGTACCACTTCGTTTTGGTATCACCAGTGCCCTTCCTAGCACCCCCTGAGCTTCGACTTTTTCTGTTTGCTTGGGCACCATTAGTGGTTGGTCGGTTGTAGACAAGGGTCAAGAATGTGCGTACTTGGCGTTCCTACGGTGAAGGGTTTGTGTGCGCACTGGTGATCCCAAAATGAGTGCTCCCCAGGTAGTACCACTTCGTTTTGCTATCACCAGTGCCCTTCCTAGCACGCCCTGAGCTTCGATGTGAAGGGTTTGTGTGCGCACTGGTCCAAAATGAGTGCTCCCCAGGTAGTACCACTTCGTTTTGGTATCACCAGTGCCCTTCCTAGCATCCCGTGAGCTTCGAATTTTTCTGTTAGCCTGGGCACCACAAGCAGTTTCAAGGTTGTAGGCAAGTCGCAAGGATGTGTTTGGTGTTCCTTGGTGCAAGGTTTGCGCGCGCACTGGTGATTCCAAAATGAGTGCTCTCCAGGTAGTACCACTTCGTTTTCATATCACCAGTACCTTTCCCAGCACCCCTTCAAATGCGCATACAAGCTTGAAACGGGCACCGCTATTAATTGGTCGGTTATAGGCACGGATGTTTGTATTTGGGGTTCCTCGGTGAAGGGTTTGTGTGCGCACTGGTGGTCCGTTGGTATCACTAGGGCTCTTTCAACAAGTTGTGGCTCGATGATCTGTGTATTTTCAAATGCCCCCCAGCAAAGGACAAAATATCCGAGGGCCGCACTATCAACTTTGTTTTCTTGCATTTGTTTTCCACTCATGAAGGGTTGCGGATTACGGATTACACCGGTTTACAACACGGACCCAGATTATCAGGATTACGGATTAGTTTTGCGGCTTGCCGGTTTCGATGTGAACAGAACCACCGAGCAGTGAAGAAATAAGGGATCTGGGATGATCTGGGGGCATTTTATCCCCAACAAGATGGACTCATGGGGATTGATACTGGTAAGCCAGAGCTCACCAGGTCAACCCAACAGCAACGAAACTCCTTCCTTTTTCTACCTTTCGCTTTGATCTGGGGTCTCGACCAGAAAAGGCAGCTGACAGTCGCAGCCAATGCAATATGGAAAATTCAAATGCAAAATCAAAATGTTGAATGTGGATTCCAAAATGTGCACTTCTCGATTTGTGCGTGAACTCTCTTGCATGCAGGCAGTGCAGGGTCTGTCTCTCTTGCACTCCCCCTCAGTATGGTCGTCAGTCACATACTGACAAGGTAAAAAAGGAAAATTTTCCGCTCAAGCTGCCCATTCATCGATTCGTTCTTGACATCTCACGCACATGCTATACTGAACTGCTTCTCCTTTGTGAGGGCATAGAGAGTCAGTATGAAATCTTCCGGGATATCCAGTGATCAAAATTGGAAATCCAGGTGGCGGAAGGCCTCTTGGCCTAGTGACTTCACGGCATGTTGGACACCACCTTGCCGGGCGTGCAGGTCCAACTCGAGGATTGGTGAGATATGGGCACTGATGCGACAGGTGATAGACCTTTCCATATTGAGTTCTGAGCACACCAAAACCTGGACCTGGCAGATCCTCTCGATCTTCTGGTGGATTGAACCTCAGACGCTCTCGGATTTCACTGACTTCTCTTTCGATGTTCTGCAGCTCATTCATAACCGCTTGACCCATTCCATCTTGTGAGTCGGTGTCTCCAGACATCTCTGAGCTGGAGCTTTCTTCTTCTTCTCTTTCAGGGAGGAATTGGGGGCGCACCGCATCAGCGGGCCCAGCAGGCGTTCGAGATGGTCCTTCTCCTGGCTCACCATCCCGCACCTGAGAGCGGAGGCGGACTGAGCTTTCGCTCCTTCCCTGCTCACGTTCTGGCTGGAGGCGGACTGGGTTTTCACCCCTTCCCTGCTCACAGCCTGGCTGGAGGCAGACTGGGTTTTCACCCCTCCCCTGCTCACAGCCACTTCTCCCTTTCTCTCCAATTTTCTTCTCTTCCTTCCCAGATGTCTTCTCTCCTCGGGCTTCAGGGCGACTTCGGACAGGCGCAGTCAGAGCATTTCTCTGTCTCATCCATCTTACTCCGACCTTCCAAAGCCATTGGAAGAAGAAAGTCAGCAGCACTGTTCCAAGAGCAAAAACTGCCAACATCATCCAGAGTTCCACAAATCTTTCCCCTTCCTCTTCTTCTTCTGACTCTCCCTTCGCCATGTTCAAGAGGGCAATCGCTGTGATCAACCTCAACAAATCCTCACTGGTCTTCGCAGACTTCATTTTTTCTCCTTTGGATTCTTTCTTTTCCTCTTTCTCTTCATCTTCCATCTTCTGTGTTGGTGGGCTGCACATCATCAGGAGCCCCTTGAGGTGGTCCAATCTCGCCAAAGACATTGGTTTCGTGCCGATGTCTGCCGTCATATCTTCGCCAGGCAAGTGTTGAATGGCCCAAAGGCCTGACAAAACTGATTGGCGGGCAAAGGACGCCCTGGTCCTCAAATGCCTTGTACGCCAACTGCCTCCATCAGTTGAGACAATGGCCAGAGCAGACTGTGAATCAGTGAAAGCTCCTCTTTGGACTGGTCCTACCAATTCGTCCACCACCGCAGCAACCGACTCGCCTGCACCCATGGCTTCAACCAACTCCGCTAACTCCGCTTCAGCGGTAGAGAGCGTCACCAGGTGTTGTCTCCCAGCACGCCAGAAGATTGGTGATCTGTTGAGGGTGATGACGAAGGATCCAATTGATTCTTCATCTCCAGGGGCATAGCTGGCGTCAGAAAAAACCTGAATTTTGATTGGTTCTTGGCCATCATCTTGGTAGGCCAAACCTTCAGCACAAGTCCTCAGCAGATATCCTCGAACTTGGTCTGCTGCTTCTAACACTGACATGGTGGCCTTGGTGACATTCGATCCCAAGCGGGACAGACTGTACATCAAATCTGGTCTCGTTCTCGTCAGAACCCAAAGTAGTTCTCCAACTGCTTTCTGACATTTTCGCACCGCTTCGAGGGTTGGAGTCTGAGGGTCTGGGCTCATTGAGGCTTGATCCTTTGTGATGGGAATTCTTTTGGAAGAAACTTCTGTTTCTTGACGTTTGACCATGTCTTTGATGTACGACTCTTGAGTCACATGCCATGTGCAACGACCATCGATGCCTGTGGAAGTGGAGATTTCCATCCCCAGGAATCTGATGGGGACCTCCCCCACGGTCTCTGGACAGGACGTGGTCCAGGTCTCCTGGAACTTTCGCGCCACAGCTTCGGCAATCTTTGGGGGCGCTGCGATCAAAATGTCATCAACGTACGTCATCACCAGGCCGTACTTGATGTTCATCTCTCGATTTTCATCTTCGCTCCCAAGCTTCTCCAATCTCCAAAGATTCGGCTCTGAGTCAAGCTGTCTCAGCTGCAGCTTGATTGTTTCTCCTCCTTCTTCCACTTCTATCTCAAAACTTCTCATCTTTCCATCTCTGCACACTCCCCACAACCTTGGTGACCTTCTCAGTCCATACACCGCTTTTTTGGGACGATAGAGAGTGCCAACAGGGAGGCACCCCTTCTTCACAAAGACTGTGGGTGGAGCAACCAGGATGTAGTTAGGCTGGTCTTCTTGATTGACATCCGCATTGAGAAAGGCAGTGCGGATATCCAGGGATATTCCAAGCCATCCAAAACGGGATGCCAGCCAGAGCAAAATTCGCAGAGCTGTGGCGTCTGCGCCAGAGCTGTAGGTCTGTTCATCCTCTCTCTTCTCTTCATAATTCCCGCAGATGACCCATCGCACCTTGTGTTTGGCTCCCCCGGGGGCAGGCTTCTTTGAGTACACCACCTTGGATGGTATGCACTCCAGCTTCACTCCCTTTTTGAGGAGCTCTTTCTCCACCTCCTTCACCTGTTCTGCTGTGAGCTCTTCTAACGCTTCTTTCTCCTCAAGCATTGAACTTATCTCACTTTTCGCAGCTTCTTCCCATTCCTTCCAGTTGTTCCACACCTCTTTTGGCGAGATGATCTTGGTCTGCAAGATTTCCTCTGACTCATCCATGTTTTCCACAATCTTTCTCAAAGCTCCTATGACTGCCATCTCATCTCTGATTGTTTCTTCATCATCCTCAACCATCGCTCGCATCTCCTCTTCAATGATCCTCCGGATCTTTGCCTTGAGTTTGCACCTCTCTGCCTCTTCGCTCTCTTGTGACGTCATGCTGGCGTCCAAGCTCCTCACTGATGTCTTTTCTCTCAACCTCCTTCTTGACGAAAGATCATCCAAGATCTGAGTCTCCAAGCCTACCCAGACCCCATGCATGACCGGCTCTGACGTCTTTTTCATCAAAACTTTTGAGACTCTAGGTGCTTCTCCATCCTTCCACACCCAATGCCCATGTTCCTCCACTGATGGACTCAGATATCTGAAGGTGTCCACAGTAGGGTCAAAGCTCCCCCGCTTCCAAGTTCTCTTCCTCACTCTTACCTCCTCAAAAAAGGGTGGAAAAGATGGAACTTGATCAAGCCGGACGCACCTGTTGATCTCGTTGATGTATCTCAGAGCCCATGGCCACCACTCTGATTTGACTCTCGCATGGTGGAGGACTCTTCTGATCTGTGTCTTTGTTGACTTAACAGTCACTTCTGCCCGTCCAT